AATCAATATACCATATCTCAGAGTTGCTTGGAGAGAAGTTGCATAAGAGTATTTTGCAAGAGTTTCATTTGTAAAGGCATACAAAGTCCTAACGTAAGAGACTGCCTGCACATATAGAATAAACCCTTTTGAGCGTTAGAAAATATATTCAGATGCGTTCTGACACAATAAACTAACCAGAACGAAGAACTCAGAAAATGGACCAGTATGGATGCGTTTCAGAAGAACTTGTACTCATAAGACAGACTAGTGGGCGTGTAATTGCCATGCATCCAAGTCGATGTAATATCTAAGTTATGGATGCAAAGAATAATTATACATGAATCCTAGCATAACAAAACCAAAGCCATGACTTGGGCACTATGTTGAGATGAATTTTAATTCACGAATGCAGTCGCATAAAACCAAGATAAGCAACCTAAACAGTCCGACCTGTCTATATACAATCTAGCCCTCATAGATTCTGCCTAAAATTTTCTGAACTTAAAACAAGTTTTGATTTTAAATAAGAGAACTGTAAAAGATATCAAACTTTGCACAGCAGAAATTAACATTGATGTTCACAAGTCAAAGAAGTCTCTGTTATAACTCTGCTGCTTAAACATCATTGTCATTGTCGGAAACATGTCATTTTATGCTTGCAACAGAATTCGTCAATCAAATTGCAATATTTTGAAAAGATAAACAGTATCTCCATAATGTAGCCCATAAACCTAAAAATTCTAATACCTGTTCAGCAATGCTGGCTGCTTCAGCATATGCATCTTGAATATTCTCAGCAAGTCTGTGGAGAAATATATTTGATATGCCTCCTGCAGCAACAATGAAAGGACCGGTGGCTAACGTAATGAGCGCAATTTCCCAGCAGTTGACAAAACCGATAACAAGACCACTGATAAATGTTGCCATGTTATGAATGTAATTCCCAACCTGTAATGTCCAGGATCAAAAGATTAAGAAAATGCATGAACATGTATCATTCCTTGCAAAAATAAAGATCTTCAATAGCAAACTTGAAACCAGATTCAAAAGTTAAACATACTTTTTCGCTTAGAGCCGACTGAATAAGTAGGACATCACTCAGCACTTGGCTTACTATATCCCCGTTATTCCCATATGTATCAAAGAAACTCATATCCTGATTTAGTAGTACTTGGACGTACTTTGACCTGATCACAGCAGTCTGCCTCTCTCCAGTCAGTATCCAGCAAGACACCTCTATAAAAAAAAGGACAATTAATTATGGTGACGGATAATAGCATCATTGCATTAGAGAAAAGAAGGATACAATTAGATTATATATGTAGAGATTTTAGCAAACGTGAACTTACCAATCCAACCAGATACGAAAACACCTCCAGCAATGTATACAATGGTCAGCGAAAGCTGCACAAAGGACATCAATAACTTAGACGGGCACATTGTTTCAGGATTGTTGCCAGTGTTTCATGAATCCAGATGAACTGGTTTGTAAACAGATAAACCTCGAATAAAAAAAATGGACATCCAGAAGAAGGGTTGTCTTCGTTTAAGCATGCATTTGAGTAAACGAAAAGGTTTGACTATTCAATGTAGGCTCCCCAGCTAGGTCAAGAACAGCTGGTTTCCAGGTTGATATACAATTTAGAAGCAGTAGTTACATGAAAACCAGTATACTTACTAATCCTCCAAACAATAGCACATAGAAATCATGAAACAGAAAATCCACTAACAATCCAACATGCATATCCTCAAAGATATAGAGCAAAACAATCAAAGAATTTCACACCCTCAGAAATGCTACACTCTCATGTTCCCTTCTTGACTTAATATATTTATGACCAAGGAGTACCACAAAATTTGTCGAGATAACAGACTTAACATAAGATGTTCAAGAACCTGACAGGAAGGTTACTTAACCCTAATGTGGCAACCCACTAAAATTACAAATCCCACTCGGAAGGAGGAACAAAGCTCCAAAATTTCGTTTCAGTACATATAGAAAAAACAATATACTAAACTATCAATAGCTCCAAAACCTAAACTACAATTCACATTAACCTCCAAATTCCATTTCCCCCCAAGCTCACTCAGCTACATACACCTAGGAAATTAGAAATTTTGTAAAGCCACATAAGCATATGCAAGCTGACATACCTCTACGAGACGATTGAACTGATCATCACTAATCAGGTGATCCGATTCACTGGGAAATGCAAGAACCTGAACAATTTTGGCGAAGTAGTGCAAGTAAACAATAAGCGCAGTACCATGAGCAGCAGCAGCTACGGATCCAAAAACCATAAGCACCCAATCAAACCGATCAGCACAAGCAAATAGCTGAGAGAAAGGAACAGCAGCAGGAGGAGGCTCCATCTCCTCCGGCTCCTCCATATCTTCCTCATCATCCGCTTGCGCCGCCGTTCCCGAACCACCGTTCTCAGCACCAGGATCAAGGTAAGGAGAAGGTGACTCAGGAGGCTCGGAAACTTCAGAAACCGGAGTTAACGGTTGTATATGCGGCGGAGACCAACCAAACAAACCTCTGGAAATCATCATCTTTTAGCTACGATACGACGGGGGAATAATATCACCTCCGTCTCCGGCGTAGAAGAAACCCTAGGTTTAGAGGATTCTTCGGATTTTGCTGCTTGATTTTGAATTTTTCACCGGATCTGCTAAAAAGCTTTAGAGGAAGAAAAGTCTTGGAATCGGCGAAGAAATCGTTTCCGGTGAGATACTTTCTTTTTTTCCTTTTTGCTGGTTTTTATTTAATTTAAATTTTTTTTTTTTTTTAGTTTTCGTAAATTATGAAGAAAATGAGTCAAAGACTCTAAAAAAGTGAAAGACAGACAAGTCTTGTGAATGTTTGTGTCACCTAATGTCACATAAAATTAAATTTTCTTAAAACATACTCCCTCCGTATTTTAATAATTGTCGTTTTAGAAAATTTATTTTTTGAATTGGATGTCGTTTTCAAATTTCTATGCAAAATTTATTACTTTTTAATGTTTTATGACATCATAAAACATTAAAAAGTAAGAAATTTTGCATTGAAATTTGAAAACGACATCTAATTTAAAAAAATAAAAATTCTAAAACGACAATTATTAAAATACGGAGGGAGTATATTTTAAATTAAATTAATGAATGTTAGTATATTTTCATAATAATTAAAACAAAAAGTAACGGTCAACTACGGCGACGAGTTTTGTTTTTATTTTCAGGTATTCTTCGTTTATGTTTGAAACACTATTTATGCAACGATTAAATTATGAGACTGACTAATAATATAAGTTGGGCCTAGACGAACTGGTCTAGACTTTAGACCGGACCAGATTATGCCACTGTCCCAACATTTATCAACGTCTTTGCGTCTATTAATTTTGTCATTACTTTATACAGAAGTAGTTGTCGACAAATATTGAACTGTTTCGGAATCTTTTGGTTACCAATTTGTTTCGAATTTTGTTGTGAATTATTATAACGTTGTATGATTCGTGCTCCAACCAAACCATGCATATGATGATCACGAGAGTTTCGTTTGATGAAATACTTTTCTTAATAAGTCAAAGTTAGAGATTAATCATCATTAGTTAGCCAAAAAAAAAGAGATACTTGTAAGAAACTTGAGAAATGTGCATGGTTGGTTGGTGTGCCGTGAAGAATGCAACAACAGCTGTCTTTGTTTCTTTCTATTTTCACTGTCAAAGGTGCGGGTGATGAAAGAGGAGAGTGATGTTACATGTGAGATTAGCAATTACCCAGTGGGGGCAGGTATGATTGAGGCAGCATGGAGCTTCTTTTTCTGCCAGTGCATTTGATCTGTTCCCTTTTTGCTCATTCTCATACTTTTTTCTCTCTTTAGCAAAACTGCTCATATGATATCATTTGATTGGAACTTGACTTTTATAGTTGGATTATAGGTTTTTTAACCATTTTTATTGTTTACAAAATTCAAAGAGATAGCTTTTTTTTTCCCTTTAATTTTGGCCACAACGGGACAGGAGCCCAATTAACTTCATTGTAAACGAAGGGATTCGATTTCGAGTGAGATGGTGCTAGTTTTTGGTAGACTTATGAATGTCACTACAATGTGGTCACTTCTCAGGTAGTCTGGTTTTTTAAAAAAATGTTTTGAGATCTTATCAATATAGTCAAGTAAAATTGTTTGTATAATAATATAGTAGTCCATAGATTTTGCTAATTTTTTCTACTATAGTATGTTGTAACACGCAATAATGAGTATTCTTGTGTTATATAGCATTTTTCAGCATGTTTTATAACATTTGACACTTGAATATGTCTTTGTTAGAGTGTCCTTTTGAAAGTTTTGTACCACCAGGCCTGTCTGAGCCATTTGGGGTTGGTGTGCAAATGTCCAATATATGTTTGGCCACAAAATTATTGTTAAGAGTGATTGTTTTGTCCACGTTATGTGTCATCATATCATTCGTTGAATGATGTATAACTTTTTTTTGTTTCTTAATTTAACTTTAAACAAGAATTCAGAGCATTTCGAGCTAAGTTTAGAAAAGTAATTCCTCAACACTATTTTTCCGAGCCAATTGTTTTTTTAACTAAGTACAACGATCAAACTTGATAATGTAATCAAAATGGTTTAGTTGGTTTAGCGTTAATTAATTGATTTAAAATGACTTGTGATGCACGCTTTTCTTTCGTTCACAGATGAAGTTTCCACACATGCTTTTGTTGAACAGGTCAAATAAAAGACGAAGACACGCACATGGTTTAAAAACGATATTTCACCTAAACCATATATTTGAGCACTATAGGTTTAAGTTGCAATGTGTACAAGAATCAATGATCAATTAATACTTATACATATACTTGCGAGAATCAACTTGATGTTGTTTTAAGTAATTTAACATAGTAAATACATTAGAATAATACATATTGGTGAAAACTCTTTAAATCTGCGAACTTGACGAAGCCAAAATTTGAGCTCCGCGGTTTACACGAGGGTTTCTTGTACAGCAAGAAATAGGAATCTACGCGTTAAAATGACAGGAGATTAATTAAAGCATGTCATGCGTGTATATTTAGACATAAATCTTTTGTCGTTTCCATTCCAAGTCAGAGTATCGATCTCAAGAAATCGAAGACAGTACAAGCAGAGGCTGATCGATACTGACTATCTCTTGTAGAGCCATTATCAGTTTATTCTTATCCTCTTCACTCTTGAATCCATCCAATTTGACCAGTTTCAGATCCCTTAGTACTCTTGCATGTTCACTTGCGTGGTCAGCATCAACACTAACTTCTCCGTTTGAACTATAAGTATTTGAATCGATCTTCGAAATAATTTAAGGTATTAGCACGATGCATGAACTAACAAAGTAACAAAGGTTCTAGGTGCTTGACACTTACATCAATGAAGAGGCGCTCGATTGATGGGCAAAGTTTGAGAAAAGAAATCATGGAATTAATGTTTTCTTGGTTCATCGAGTTATCAATCCACCGCAATTCTTGTAACTTGTAGAATTGGAATGATCTCCAAGATGATGATATGGACGGTTTGATTATTTCCTATAAACAAATAACTTTCGAATTACCTGATCCTAATTTTGAATAGTAGCCATTGTAGACCAATTTATGTCGCAAGCTAGATGATATATATAATACCTTGAAACGTAATAAAAAGATATAGAGACTATATTTGTTTACCTCGAACATCCATCTGCAAAGTGTAAGATAACGAGAATTCTTGATGATCAGCGAGAGAGGACCCATGTCTAAACCGTTGTTGTAATAGCTTGGACCTTGTGTTACGTCGAAAATCGCCTTGGTCAAGTTGAAATGTTCATGAATCTTGATCAAAGGTAGAGATCCTTGGTAATGAAAACTTTTAAGCTTAAATGATCTGATCTCGAGATATCTCAGCATGGGGCATCCCGAGATCGACAAGTGAAGAAGTTTAGTTGGTGAATCTATAGTGAGAGAAGTCAGTCCCTTGGAACCACAAATCTTTAGGCTCTCGAGTAAAGAAAAGTCCAAAACCATGGAGGAAACGACCTCATGGGTTAACGAATTCACCGAGTCTAAACAAAGCGTCTTCACCAAGAAACCGCTTAAGTCCACACGTCTTGGGATCTGATCGTTGATCTCAAGACGCCAGCAAAAGCTCTCTTCTTTCTTAGAATCACCAGAGAAGAAGAAGCTCATATGCATGACGTTATGAGGTGCGAGAATAGTGGACACGAAGGTTGACTTGCCAACGTGTAACTCTAGCCTCCGAGTGTTTTTAGTAGGATCATGCTCGTCAAAGTTGTTGATGAAGCGAGAGACAACGTGAGATATGTCTTCGATGGAGCCGTTGTGGCTGTGAGAGACGAGTATGGCCTTGTTCCAAACGGACCTAAACCGTGTGGAGACCAAAGGGATTAGTCTTGCGGATTCGAAAGGGAGGAAGCTGATGATGTAGAGGAGAAGCTCTAGCGGTAGGCTTGAGAGGATGTCCGGTTTGTGTTCCTCCATGGTTATTGCACTTTGAGGTGTTTTTAATTTGCTACGGAGAGGTTTTAAAGAAAAGTACGTTTATGGTACGTACGGATTTGGGTTTTTATAAAGCTGGATTCTCGGCGTTGATCATGCTACTTTTGTTGTTAAACACACTTCTTGATATATATATAAGTATAGTTTTTGTTTGTTTATTGTATAAAAGCTAATACGTGCATACATCCTCTGATGACACTGATGAAAAGGAAAAAAGTCCTATGTTGATATGATGTCTTCATACGTATTTCAACATATATTCCGTTTTTGGAGCAATCCAAATGTTCATACGGAATATTCAAAGTAGGTTACAAGTAGTAAATTGTCATGGAAAAACGCAGACCAGATATTATGACTTTTGTGATATGTGATCGGTGCATTTTGTTTGGATTCATAGATTGGCATTTTTTTTGTTCTTATGTTTGTTAAAGGCAGGATTTCAGACACTTTCAGTCAAAATTCTGAAAATAGAGGTCAAAGGCATGTAGCCGAAAAATCCAATAACTTTAAATGTTGACATCCTATGACAAAGAACATGTTTTGAGATTTAAAATAAAATAAAATTTCTTTCATGTTGGTAATTTTGTTTTAGAAACTATGACATGTCTCAGTTTATATGATTTGATAAGATATATACAGTAATAATATTTCATTGTTTCAATGAGGATTTGGCTTGATTAGTGTCTAATTAAACAAGTGAAAGCGACTGCTTTGGGCCTTTGGCTAACATCATCCAAGCTCATATAAACGTCCGTACAATATTTTGTAAAACTGTATGTATGAGTAGGAGCCTAGGAGGTATGGTTAATGCAAAAACGTTCCTGCTTTAATGCTTTTGTAGAAGATATATGATGTATGAAAACAATCAATTAATAAGTTGACCGTCTAGAATATTGGATATTCGTTAGGATAGCAACACACCACTTATCTACATTAAATCTAAAGCAATAATTTTGGCAGAGTTGAAATTTCTTTAGTTTTAAGTCAAAGTAATAGTTGTATTAAAGAAACAGAACAAAAGCAGAGAGAAACAAAGTGATCAAATCTACATCTTGCCAGTAGTTACTATTCTTTCGAATCAATTATCAAAATCTATATCATAAGGATTGGAAAACACTAAAACCTAATAACAACATAAGATAGAGACTCAAAACAGCAAACACTACAAAAGGACACTGAGATCAAGACGCTGCTTACTTAATGTTCCTCTTGAGCCTCTCGACACGCTTGTTAAGCTTCTCGACTTTGACGACCAGATTCAAGACGTTGTAAAGAATCCAGTATAAAAAGGGAGCCAACAAGATAAGGAGCTCATCACGCTGGGATATTAGGATGGATTTCTGGTAACGAAGGAACTCCGAAAGTATGCAGGAACCGGCATTGCATGAAGTTCGAGTCTCGTACTTCCAGTAGATGTCCATGCGGAGGAATAGACAAAAAGGGATTATCAACAACAACGGCTTTATGAGATTACGTGTGACCATGGTCATTCCCTTGCGGAGAAAGTCTGGTCCCGGCATTGTCAAGAGGAAGATCATGATTACTTCAGCCGCCGTGACGTAGCTTAAGATAGTCCATTCGAAAACCATTGTTTTCGCCGGAAGATTCACGAACAAGTCCCACAAATTTTGAGTTTTTTTACTCGTGAGCAAAAGGTCTCTAATATTTAGGGTTTGTAATCTTTGATCTCGGCGTGTTTATATATTTAGGAATGTAAAATTTCCTAATCTAATTCTAACATAAAAGGAAATATGTGTAGAGAAAATAATAAGGTCCAATTTTAATTTTGCCTTAGCGGTAATACGTATCGTTTTAGTTGGGCTTGGGCCAGTTTGGTAACGAACTTTCTTAACCAAGTTTGGATGCAAAATCAGAAACATAAAATCCAAAATCAAAAGCCGATTCGATGCTTAACGAAAGGGTTTAATGGCGACGAGATTCGATGTGAAGACGATCGTCAAGGACAAGAGATTCTGGGTCGCTTCCTTCATCATCGTCTGGGCTGCTGGTCTTCAGGTCAATTTTTGCATTCCCAGTGAATTTGTTATAGATTCTATGGTTTCTTAAATCGAAATTTTGGAGCTCATAAATCTTGATTTCTGCAATTAATTCGTGTGCAGGGTCACATGATGTGGCTGCAGAAGCAAGAATCTTTCAAGCAGAAATTTGGAACAATCGATGAAGACGATCACAAGTGATTCATGAGTTTATATGTCTTTCTTGTTTTTTTTGTATTTGTGAGTCTTGAGGATAACTAGATTTATATGAAATTTAATCATACATTATTACTCTGGCTACTATGTCAAATGGTTATAAACATCAAATTCCTCGAGTTTTTTGACCATAAGAAGTTGCTAAAAGCCATCTCCACTTGCAATTAGTTTTTGTTTGCTATGGATGTCTCTGTAATTGTAGTATTTCAGCTTTAGCTTTGTTCAGTGGAGTATGAGATGCTTTAGTATACTTCCTCTCAGTTAGCTGCAAACCAACCATCTTTCTCCTCGAACACCAACTTTCACGTACTCGAAAAGGCTTGTGGTGAGTCAAAGGTTGTGTTGGTGTTCTTTCAGAAGATAGTAATTATTGGGCTTAAATTAAACATCCAGATAAATACATCACGCCTAGGTGATCAAGATTATTGAGCTTAAATTAAACATCCAGAGAAATACATCACGCTTAGGCTAGATTGTTAATTACTGAGCTTCCATTTAACATCCAGACAAAAGAAAAAGAAAGAAAAGAAAAAGAGAGAAAAAAGAACACACAAGTTAGCTTTCTACTGCGTAGTCATTTCTTTCACCTAAAGGAAATGACAGGTTTTAATTTGTTATTAGGAAATCAAGAATCAAATACATGTATCTGTTGGCGTTATAGCTAACCATGTAGGACTGGACGGCGAGACCCGGGAGGAGCTCAAGAAGAAGAAGGAGGTCTCTCGTACTGGGTAACATTAGTCTCTGTATTCCAATAGTACGAATACGTATTGCTACTCTCAAGACGTTTCCACGGCTCAGGTAGACTTGGATCCTCAGGTGCGTAACGTTTTACCGCAGGTTGTGAAGCATAAAATAGTTTCTTGGACTCGACATCTAAATTCTGAAAGCGCAAATTATATGGATAAGGGAGAAGAGTACTCATACATGGTGGCTCAGGGAGATTTGGATCCTCAGGAGCTGTAGCAGCAGCAGCCATTGCCGAAGGAGTCTTGGAAGAAGAACATGTCCAAAGATGGGCTGGATGGATACAGGGCAAAAACGCTTCGTCTGGTTCTGGAGGCGCAACCCTAGTAATATAAATATTCTCCAATCTTTTCACATCACATCTACCAAGTTGCAGCACCTTCTCTATTAAGTCTATTCCATCAACAGATGTCTTAGCGGAACTATAAAAAGCAACAAACATAAACATTTTCTTTGGTTAGCTTTTGATAGTAACATGAGATATATGAGAGCAAATTGGGAGGACGATAGAAGCCACAAACCTGGAGAGAGGACCTCCGTGTTCTTTTTGAGTAACACTAATGATGAACCTGATACTTCCACACTTAGAGAAATGTTCATACAGCTTGAACTTGACATAATCCAAGGGAAGCGAAGTGTCATATCCCTCAACAAAAAACCTAATAATTTGATTGCAGGCACGGCATAATATTATCAACCAACATGACAAGAAGAACCAACGTATCTTAGAGACAAAATTGAAAAAAAAAAAAAAAAACAATTTACGTGTATTGTTGCTTGTTGTCTGCCTCTCTCATAGGAGCCAACTTGTGGTCAAGGTATGTGGCATGAAACGGGTAAGGCTCAACGACTAACTTGTGTCCTCCCATGTAACTTCCATGGAGTTTCAACGCCCTCTCTTCTGCACCTTCTCCTCGAAGGTAAACAAAGGCAAATCTATAAAACAAAATCATCAAGAGTGAGTTTAATTATCGCAACAAATTTAACTTAAAAGCTGATGCTGATGAGAACACCGGAGGAAAGATACGCCACAAACCTGTTGCCAATACTGCGTCCACCTCCACAAACGTATCCAGGAATATAAACCAGCATCACCTCTCCACACGAAGCGAAATGTGCTCTCATAGCGTAAACGAAATCATGGCCAGAAAGGGAAGTGTCGTATCCCTCAACGTAAATCCTGCTCACAATGCTGTGCCTGCCATAGATTTGATTGATTGCATGCATGCAGGTGATGATAATATTATTAACATGACTCTTTACGGATACAGATCTAAAATAAATTTCAACTTTTACCTGCTTTTTTCAATGTCTGCATAACTATTCCTCAATTCCAGATCCTGGCGTACCAAAAGATATAATCAGATATTTGAAATTGAGAAACAGAGATCAAAGAAAACCATAAGGATCGAAGAAGACTTTGGTGGCGGATCTCATGGCGTATCTGACGGATCTGGGGAACCTGTAGGAGATAATATTATTAACATGGCATCAACAAATCTTTACGGATACAGATCAACAAATCAATTTCAACTTTTACCTGAGTTTTCCAATGTCGAACCACAATTCCGGACCCTAACGTACCAAAAGATACAATCAGATATTTCAAATTGAGGAACAGAGATCAAAGAAAGCCATAAGGATCGAAGAAGACATTACTTTGGTGGCGGATCCCTCCATGGAGAAGTTGACAAGATGCGACTGCGGATTTTAGGTCTTTCTTTCTGGAGGCTAACGAAGAGGACCAAGGGATTTAGGTCTTTCTAGAGGCTAACTATATATATACACTAGGTAAAATTCCGTGCTATGCACGGGTCAAATTATAACTTTTTAATTAGTTTATATTTATATTAAAACATATATATGTATTATGAATGTATTAGTAGTATTAATGAATAATATTATATAAACTAAAAAGTAATTAAAAAATAAAAAATAACTAAAAAGTAAATATTACACTATTATAAATTATATATATATATATATTATAACTTTTAATGCATTATACTTTTAAGTTAAATTAATTTAACTAATTTAATATTTATTATATTAAATTGTTAAAAATTTAAAATAGTCACTTAGTTAAATTATACATCAGTATAAGTTAAATAAAACTATATAATATATCAATGTAAATTATATATACCATAACCATCATTTCCAGATAATATAAATGTATTGTTAACTACACGAAATATTTCCATCATTTTTTTAAAACTAAATTACAAAATGAAAAAATAACTAAAAGTAAATAATACACTATTGTTAATTATATATATGCATTATAACTTTTAAAGTTTAAATTCTACATATGCAGTATCCCTTATAATTTTAAGTTAAATTAATTAACTCATTTTTAATGCACACATATGTTTTATATGAAATTAATTTAACTAAATTTTTAAAAGTGTCACTTAATTAAATTATACAGTTTTACAATATTTTGTAAAACTGTATGTATGAGTAGGAGCCTAGGAGGTATGGTTAATGCAAAAACGTTCCTGCTTTAATGCTTTTGTAGAAGATATATGATGTATGAAAACAATCAATTAATAAGTTGACCGTCTAGAATATTGGATATTCGTTAGGATAGCAACACACCACTTATCTACATTAAATCTAAAGCAATAATTTTGGCAGAGTTGAAATTTCTTTAGTTTTAAGTCAAAGTAATAGTTGTATTAAAGAAACAGAACAAAAGCAGAGAGAAACAAAGTGATCAAATCTACATCTTGCCAGTAGTTACTATTCTTTCGAATCAATTATCAAAATCTATATCATAAGGATTGGAAAACACTATAAAACCCTAACAACATAAGATAGAGACTCAAAACAGCAAACACTACTAAAGGACATTGAGATTAAGACGCTGCTTACTTAATGTTCCTCTTGAGCCTCTCGACACGCTTGTTAAGCTTCTCGACTTTGACGACCAGATTCAAGAGGTTGTAAAGAATCCAGTATAAAAAGGGAGCCAACAAGATAAGGAGCTCATCACGCTGGGATATTAGGATGGATTTCTGGTAACGAAGGAACTCCGAAAGTATGCAGGAACCGGCATTGCATGAAGTTCGAGTCTCGTACTTCCAGTAGATGTCCATGCGGAGGTATAGACAAAAAGGGATTATCAACAACAACGGCTTTATGAGATTACGTGTGACCATGGTCATTCCCTTGCGGAGAAAGTCTGGTCCCGGCATTGTCAAGAGGATGATCATGATTGCTTCAGCCGCCGTGGCGTACCTTAAGATAGTCCATTCGAGAGCCATTGTTTTCGCCGGAAGATTCACGAACAAGCTCAGTCCCACAGATTTTGATTTTTTTTACTCGTGAGCAAAAGCTCTCTAATATGTAGGGTTTGTAATCTTTGATCTCGGCGTGTTTATATTATTTAGGAATGTAAAATTTCCTAATCTAATTCTAACATAAAGGGAAATATGTGTACAAAAAATATAATATGGAGAATATAGTTTAATTTGAGTTCCTATCAGTTAAACTATGATTTTTTCTTTCTAAAACTATGTAACAAATAGATTAATGAAATTTTTTAAAACCAATTGAATCAACCCTATGAATAAGGTCCAATTTTAATTTTGCCTTAAGCGGTAATACGTTTCGTTTTAGTTGGGCTTGGGCCAGTTTGGTAACGAACTTTCTTAACCAAGTTTGGATGCAAAATCAGAAAAATGAAATCCAAAATCAACATTCTCAAAAGCCGATTTGATGAAATTCGATGCTTAACGAAAGGGTTTAATGGCGACGAGATTCGATGTGAAGACGATCGTCAAGGACAAGAGATTCTGGGTCGCTTCCTTCATCATCGTCTGGGCTGCTGGTCTTCAGGTCAATTTTTGCATTCCCAGTGAATTTGTTATAGATTCTATGGTTTCTTAAATCGAAATTTTGGAGCTCATAAATCTTGATTTCTGCAATTAATTCGTGTGCAGGGTCACATGATGTGGCTGCAGAAGCAAGAATCTTTCAAGCAGAAATTCGGAACAATCGATGAAGACGATCACAAGTGATTCATGAGTTTATATGACTCTGAAACTGCTTCTTGTTTTTTTTGTATTTGTGAGTCTTGAGGATGATTAGATTTATATGAAATTTAATCATACATTACTCTGGCTACTATGTCAAATGGTTATAAACATCAAATTCCTGAGTTTTCTCGAGTTTTTTTACCATAAGAAGTTGCTAAAAGCCATCTCGAGTTTTCTCGAGTTTGCTATGGATGTCTCTGTAACTGTAGTATTTCAGCTTTAGCTTTGTTTAGTGGAGTATGAGATGCTTTAGTATACTTACTCTCAGTTAGCTGCAAACCAACCATCTTTCTCCTCGAACACCAACTTTCAGGTACTCGTAAAGGATTGTGGTGAGTCAAAGGTTGTGTTGGTGTTCTTTCAGAAGATTTACTTCAGTGAAGCTTGTAGTGTAGATTGTTGAATCATCTATAACTGAGAGGGAGTGTACTGAAGAATGAATCATTTCGTACTTCACTAGGCGAAGCTCCATGGTGAAGAATGATAGAAGCTCCTCAAGCTGATATTTCTCTGAGTTTTGAATGTAGTCTCTGTAGTTGTGACTTGTGGGATTATGTACCAGTCAACTTTGAAACTCTCAAGAAGTAGGTAGAGCTTGTTTTATATTAGTTATTGACTGTGAAACTAGATCTAGGCTGCTTAGAAGAAGTGAAGCTCTTGGATTGATATCTTTGGATATTTCTTAATTCTTAGTATACTGAAATACCCAAAAACTGATTGTTTAGGTTTCGTAGTTCACATCAAACGGTGTCGTTTCCTTAGACGTCGTCTTAATTATCCAACGTATCAGAAAAATCACCAAAATTACTTAGCGTATATTACATTTGTCTTACATTCAACGCCGCACTATAGTTTTGAATGGAAACATATTACAGATAAAGGAAACATATTTTATTCTATTATTCTTCTAACTTTCTCAAAATTTACAGTATTCAGAAAATTAATATATTTATTTTAGAAAAAAAAAGTTTATAAATGGACTACAGACTCAGACTAGTCCTGCAAATTCATTCTCTATGGACAAAGAAAACGTCAGCAGATGTGCAAATTATTCTTTGTTTTTTTCTTTGTCAACTATATGCAAATTATTCGAAATTATTATTATCTGCAAACAGATGTGGATCTCCTTGTCCATATCAATTATTATACTTTTATCATATTTTATAGATAGTTAAGTACTAAAGAGCTAAAAGTAGTCATAAGTAGCAAAGCAATAGCTGTGATATTTTCATTGTTGTAATTTTGATTTTTAATATTTCTTTATAAATACTTTACATGTTTTTAAAAATAAGTAATTCAAATTCTTTAGTTTATCATCCTCTCTTGATTGCCAAACAAATGCGTTGTTATTGAGGGCCAAAACCAATTTTTTGTTTCCCGTTCATTTTTCTAAGATCTTTGGTAATCAAGTTTGATCCAAAACTCACAGTTTCTATTGCTTTTGTTGTTGTTGTTATTTCATATCTTAAGCTTTTGCTTTAGAATGTCATAGACATTATGTATTTTCTCACATAATTCATTTCCGAAAAATACATCATACAATATCAATTGGTTTTCATTTAATACCATGTAAGGATTCAAATTTCCATTATTTCATTCATTTTTCTATGGTTCTCCAAACTCAAATCTTTTTCTTTCTACTTTACCGATTCAAGTAGCTAGGATGGTGTATTGAAAGGAACTTGAAATGACTAACGTAGAATATTCGAACAAAACAGCACCATACACTAAATGCTTTCTATAACTAAAGTACAAAATCTGTCACATCAAGTACAAAACTATCTCTCAACATTGATGCTTTCTTATGTGGCGACCAGAAACCGCAACATGCAGAATCTCTAAAACACGTCCCCATTCAAAAAAAGTGTTGATTTGATCCATTATGCTCCACTACCCACCACCGCATTACATCATACTCGTGCTCTAAAGCATTATTTCCCAATATATAACTTTATTTTGCAGATTACGTATACAAAGAAAAAACATAAAGTAATTGTTTATATTACATAAATTATATTTGTTGCAGGTTTACTGGCCAGCTGTTGGAAAGATACGTTGGAAACCTACAAGATATTGAAGATGTGTTGTAAATTAAGAACTCAAAACACTAGATAATTTTAAGTAAAAGGTACTTTTAGTAGTGCAAAACATTTCATATATTATAGCCGGATACAAAATTTAACAAAGCCAAAATTAGCATTACAATAACACTCTACCAAAAAAAAGCAACGATCCGCGGTGTTTAGAAATCGGACTCATTGTTTTCTCTTATTATATTTTTATATATTATCGCCGTTAGTTGTTTGTTTAATTTAGACTGATTCGTTGGTGTTAGGCCTCGAGATCACAATACTTTCATCAGTTGTGTCCATTTTTGCATTTGCTTTCGATGGTAGTGTCACAATTTGTGGAGTACTAAGTGGGAGTTCCTTGTCCATGTCGGGAAATGATGAAGATGGTTCGTCTTTACTTTTGCCCCACAAAACTGAATAGAGTCCAAGAACTATCACTATTGCTCCAAGAATCCTACAAACATTATTTAATCTATGAGATTAAACTAATTAAATCATTAGTTATTTTCAAAAGCTTTTTGAAAGTTTACGTACCTCCCAAGGAACATAACCTCAGCAAGAATTATAGACCCCAAGATGGCAACTATGACCATGCTCAATGGATTGAAGGCAGTCACAAACACCGGTCCTCGGGTTTTCATAATTACTCCTTGAACGTAATAACCAATCCCTGAACATATCACCCCCTGCATCAAATCAAAATAAGATCATTTTTAATTTGATTTATTGTACAAGTAATCGGAATCAAACAATAGATTACATATATTCGTATAATTAGTCTTACACCATAAATAGCAGCTAGTAATTTGGAATCCAAGTGGATTGCCCAAGCAGAAGGATTTCCCCTTTCAATAAAAAGTGCCACAATAGTGCTTTCAATAGACCCCATGAAGCATATGTAAGCTGTCAAGGATAGCTCTACCGGGTAGGACTTAAGCGTGATTGCCTGCATAGCCAAACATTTTAGTGGTTTGATTAGTACTAGTACTATAAACCGTTTCTAATATATTGAATAATATGTAAATATCGGTCTTTAAAATTACTTGGAGATTGATAAAACCGGCCCAGCAGATACAACCGATAGCGATGAGGCTTGCGCCTTTAGTTAGGTCTTGTTTGACTCCGGTATTGGATGTGTCTTGATGAATGTCGTGAGGATTAGCCCAAGGCAAAGGAATTAAAGGTCCTTTCACAACAGTCATAAGCATTGCTCCACCAACTGTCACAACTGTCCCTAGAATCTTGGCTTGGCTGTGTATTTTCTTGACGTTAACCTTCTCAAGTCTACGCAACAAAAATAATGATCTCTTTAGACTAGAAACCAAAACCGGACCAAAACGAACCACATGCATCAAACGAAACAAAGTTAAGTTTCTAATACCTAAATATCCATGCCATGATAAAGGCAAAGGCAGGAAGAACATTGGTCATTGCAGCTGTGAAAGTGGCGGAAGTGTACTTCATACCAGTGTAGTATAAGTTCTGGTCAATTGTTGGTCTATAAACATATAGACACAAATTCAATTAAACATTCGTAGTCACAAACATAAGAATAAATATTGAAAAGAAAAAATAGTAAATCAGTCTTACTCCAATAACCCAAGCAACACTATCTTGAAGAAGATGGGTAGCGTCATCTTCGGCCGTATTTTTCTGCTCATGATTCAAAAAGCAAATTAAAGTAAAAAAAATATTAACGTTTTCTACGTGAAGAATACGTAGACACCAGTCTATATATACAAATACGTACTTACATTTACGTACGTATTAGTAAGTATACATGCATGCATGATTTTATGTACGCCAAATGAAAATACTATACCTATCCAAGAAATAGGCAAATGGAGCAATGAAAATTGTAGCGACGATATGGCGATATGCAGCTAGAACGTGAGGGCTCATGCCTTGGTTCAGTGCAAATTTCGCTATGATCGACAGTCCAGCATATCCGAACTGTAGAGAAACAACAGTTATGAATGGCTTCCATGTTTTTAAAGCCATATCTCAACTTATACTTGAATTTGGTATAAAGTGATGAGAAATTGCAATATGATGTAAGAAAGAGCTGATGGAGAATTGTGGGAGGGGTTGAGGTTGGTTTTATAGGAGGGTTTTTAGGGTTTTGTATAATTTGTCATGGGAATTAAAAAAATGAAAATATTTATGACTTTTGAGTTAAGAGGAATTCTAGGGATTCCACTAAGTAATGCAAGTTTGATAGTGAAAGTATATATGCCATTCTTGTTTTATAGAATATAACATGGTTTTGATATTATCCCTGATTTATAATAGGAGCATACATAATTATATAAGCAATTGGTGGTCGTGATGATGATGGAAACATCAACTACAATTTAATTATTAAATTTTAAAACTTCTAAGTAATTGGTTCCTTTTATGTTTAAACCAAGGAAACTTCTCGCACTGGATTCAACAATTTTCAATACCATTGGATATACATATCCCATAGATTTCACATTATTTCATACAAAAAAAATTTAGCGTGGTTACATTAACAAAAAAATAGATACGCATGTCAAAATTATTCACCTGCTCGATTATTCCCAAATTCGCATGTCATCTATTATATTTTGCTGTTTTGTACTAATTAACAAGTTGTACTTTCAAACTTAAAAAGAAATATTATTGCTAGGTATAAAAATATCGTTGTAATTTAAAAAGTATTTTTATTGTATTAATGTAAGAATTATTATCTGAATTTTTTTTCTGTATAAAAAATGAGAAAAAAAAATTAAAAGAGTCATCAAATAAGCGTTAGCAAACGAATATGACATTTAGCCAACAAATGGGTATAGGGAGATTCAATGGAGGAACACAAGTGGATCCGTGTCGATTATGCTTAATTTCTGCAGTTTATAAAAAAGGATAAGAAAGAGATATATAATTGAACCCACCAAATTATATAGTACTTCAATGGAGCTGGAAAAACAATTAGAAATGTGAGTATGTCTACATAACACAATTAATAAATGGAAAAACGCATTATGAAATCCGAATCGGATCATATGTGGAAGAAAGAAAACAAAATAGCTTTTGGCCAACGTCGTGGTTGAGATTTTTGGCACTTTTATGATACTCTCCACCTGGAACCTATATCTCTTACATAGAACAATAATAGTAATATTTTGATAAAAAAATAATAAGGGAATGTATACGTATCTGACGAATGCCACAGAGTTTAATTCCCGACAGCCTAATTTTGTATCGTAGACATGTTATGCGAACCGTCCCTGACGATATATATTCCCATCATCTTCAGTGTGATTTGCTAAACAAAATTCGGATATATTAAAATTTTGAGTAGTGATGTTTTGTACTTTAACTTGTTAAAGAGAATATACGATTTTTGTCAAATCAATTATGATAATTAGTGAAATTCAAACCAGATAAAAATTTTCTCTAGTTGTAATATATCATGCGTTTATACATATCATGAGCTCTAATATATATATATATTTTTCTTCTGATAAAGACATATCATGAACTTACACAAAAAACCTGTAAAAGATGGAGAGATAATCTTTTACCAAAAAAGATGGAGAGATAATGTTTTTCTCCCCCACTATATTGGACAAATTTGGCAAGCTGAGTTGACACCGAATTAACTTAGCTGGATTTTTGAAGTAGCAGATGCATTACAATTGATTTGATAGTTGATTCGTAATAAATTATCACATTCTATTTTTTCTTTTCTTTAATTCCTATTGTTATTCGATATAAGAATACAGATAAGAAAACATCAACCCAAAAAAATATCTCTAACTTATCAGTGAATAGACCCAAAACAATACAGCTTTCAAAGCCGGATATTAGACGGCATATTCATAACTTATAAGGATATTAATATCGGGGCTATTAATATCTCTAAGAACCAATTAATGGTTGTTTTATGCTTGAAAAGTATATACTGTGTGATTTTTTTTTACTGGGATTACAATCATGGTTGGTCAAGGAAAATATGTTAAGCTCGGTACGGAATATTTAATTATAAATAATAAAATATTTAACCATGAGTGGTTTTCATTTGAAAAAGAATTGTCTTATAGATCTAGACCAATGATCAATTCCCTTCAAGCCCAAAATTACTAAAACGACTTTCATTTGACCTAAAAACTCGGATCACCTTTTGGTTATAAAAAAAAAAACAAAATAAAATAAAATGTTATAAAATCCAAAAAAATAAAATAAAATAAAATGTTATAAAATCCAGTCTCTTCGAATTGTATTACTAGTAGCATCATCCAGTTGCATAAAACCATGCCTAAGACTCTAAGAGCCTTCTCTGACTCGTTTTTTCTTTGGGGTTAAAATCCACTACTCAATCGCTAGAATAAGAATCATCCAACAACACTTATTTATGTTTACCCTCTTAGGCAAAGGGAAGATTAAATCCAACTATCCAAGTATACATGGATACAGTTTTTATTGTTTGTAAATTTTCAGAAAATTTCAACACTTGAAGACAACCAGAAAAACTTCAGGAAATTGTATGAAAGATAATGATCTTTAAAGAAGCATCTCCGGTAAAACAAGTGGTATAGTGAAGCTTAAAATGATTCATTATCCCACCACGGCCACCTGTGCAAACAAAAATTGATAATTGATATCAATTTTGTTATGTGACAAGTGACAAAGCATGCTGATTAACTAATCATGATAAATTTCATCTAAAAATATTCTTCTTGAACTAACAGCAATTGAGGCTATGAAACCAAAGAAACAAAAGGAAAGGATGACATCCATTGTCTAGGAAAGCTTAGCATATAGTGTGGATTTTTTTTCTTAATATAGATATAAAAGAAAATTGTAGATAAGATAGTGCCGATCGAGACACATCTCAGATATGTGTTGGTGTGCTCTTTGAGGTTGGTTTCGTGGTTTATGCTTTGCCATTATATTATAACTCTTTGCTCCACTCAAATCTGCATATTTTATGTTCGATTTGATAAATATTCCGATATGTTTTGAAATTTTGGATCAGAGATTTAGGTGTGCACGTTCGTTTACTTCAAACGTAGAACAGCTTGTATACTTATACGGTCAAACTTGTACAGTTTTAAAACCAAATAAATATATATAGCTGAATCAATCATCCATTAAGTTAGATTTTATAAATTTTATATGGTGAAATCTCTCTCATTAAAAAAGTTAGTTCCATAATTATGAGTTTTTTAAGTTCCAGAATTCAACTTTTTGAATTTTTAGTTTTGAAAAATAGTTGCAAAACTAAAATAGCTATAGTACAGAATGGTTTGGTACAATTTTAATTGGGTTGCCGCATTATTCCGACTTGTACTATTTCCATTCTCAACGTTTCGACCCAAACTTTTCGACCCTTCATAAATCGACATAAACTTTATTTATTCTGCATAAAACGACCTCAATTTTTTTTTATTCAAATATCTGCACCTCTAATTGAAATAGATAATCCTGGTTTTAAACGTGATTAAACCGCTAAATCGCGATTACTATTTCGCGTTTGACCTGATCCGAATTTGTTGTCTTTGACCCAATAAACCCAGTTAATAAACGACGACGTCCTGTGTTTTAATAAGAGGAGACTGAAAACAAACCCAATTCAAAAACCAATTTGGGGATATTGCTCAGTAGCGAGGCTGATTTCTTCTGCAACATCGGCGGAGAGAGGAGCACGGATCTTCTCAAGCTCTTCAATAAGGACGAAGACGGATGGTTTAGAGCGGAGGACTTCTTCTTGCTCCTTGTTTAGGGTTTTGCCCTGAGAAATCGATTCTTCAAATGCTGACTCAAGCGCTGACTTACATCATCATCACCGGCATTATTTACATCATCCTCGCTCTTCTCTCCATCATCACCACTCTCGACGACGTCTTCCTCATCATCCCCATCTTCTCTGCTCTTGTCTCCATCTCCCTGACTCTCTTCATCCGAGGCTACCTCTCTCCAATCGGGATCATCTGGATCACTCTCATAGATCAACTCTGTCATTGGCATCTCTTCTCTTCGAAATCTCTCAGAACCCTAAACCCAAATCGATTTTTTCAAAATGTGCAAACCCTAAATCTAATTCCTCAATCGACGACAGAGGTATTAGAAACAAACGCCGCCGTTTAGTCTTAAGACTTTCTCCAATAGCACACGACGTCGTTTCTAAAATGGGTTTATCGGGTCAAAGACAACAAACTCGGATCAGGTCAAACGCGAAACAGTAATCGCGATTTAATGGTTTAATCGGGTTTAGAATCGAGATTATCTATTTCAATTAGAGGTGTAGACTTTTGAACTAAAAATAAAGTTGAGGTTGTTTTATAAAGAATAAGTAAAGTTTATGTCGATTTATGAAGCATCGAAAAGTTTGGGTCGAAACGTTGAGAATGGAAATAGTACATGTGGTAATAATGCGGCAACCCATTTTAATTAGATGAGTTCTACTTTTAATCAAATATAATATAGACTTATTTTAAAGAGTAAGTAAATTTTTGTTAAATGTACATTTCTTTTTGGTTTTGTTCAGGCTCGATTTCAGTTTTTCCTAGTTTTGGACTACATTAAAGCAACAGTTAATTAAACTTAACAAAAAAAATAATTTGAATTCGTATACATAATTACACCAACACATATAGCATGGTGACAAAGCTATCTGGTCAAATAATATTGGAAAGCATTACAAAGTTGTATAATGATAAGACTAAAATTAATTTCGTTTGGCAATGGCAAAGGATGAGAAAACAGATAAAACAGCAAGACAGATGAAAGAAAAGAGAAGAAGACTGGCAGATGCGTAGCCTCTGCTAAAGAACTTATCCACTGGATCAGTCGAATCTAAAACGACTAATGCTAGAAATGTGTCTTTCAAATCTTTGGTCACTCCAAATCCAGCTGCCGAACCCGTCGCCACTAGATATGATATTAACTGGCAAAAATTAAATTATCATTAGTTAGAAAAAAAAAACAGTATAGGGTTGATTTATCAAAGTATATATCAATACGTTCAACAAATGAATTTGGCTAGAAATTAATTAAATACCTTGTCACCGTAAAAGTCGAGTTGATAATTAAAAGGGTTTTTCATTCCGGTGGCGAATTCGGAGATTGTGAAGAACAGTTGTATGACGGCGTAAAGTAGTCCGATGACGGCAGATGAAAGCATGTATCTTCAAGAAGGCAAGAAAATAAAAACATTTTAGTGAAAGAGTTGACACACTTTGGTTTAATAATCAAAAATTGCCCAAATTTTAAATAGATTCGTAATTTAATGAGTATTACAAGATACAAACCAAATTACTTTTATCAAAAACATAACAAATTACTTTAGTTTATGACTTGTGCTTTCCTCAACCGAACAAACCAAGTCGAATAAAAATACAAAAGAATAAAAATTAAGAGCTTTGTTTGAATTACCTATAGGCATAAACATCTTTGAAATGAAATTTCAATGCGCTTCCTTGAGATACAATGGTGACACTGTTGGTGCTGAGGATGATGAGCGCAATAACAAGGAAAGCTCCTGTTAAAACCCTAAGAAGAAGGAGTATTACCTTCAACGAAACCGGTGGTGGCGACGGAGGTGGTGGTGCCATATAATTGATAAATACGTTGAAGGGTATTTAATGATCTTCTTAGAATGATAATCAAAGAGAAAGATGATGATAAAAGCCTGAGATTTTCGAATACAATACATGGAATGCCAATTAATTTATTTTATAACTAAAACTTGCTAGAGAGATAAGAGTTGACTTTTGCTCTATGGCATGGGACCAAGTAACGACGGTAAATGTCAAACAAACAAAATAAAGAAAATTATGAAATATAGCAAATTTTATTGTTGAAGTCGTGCTGAAACTGGATCACCACGTCTAGTTTACCAAACAAATGGATAATTTTTTTTTCCTATTATACTTTTATACCTCAAACTTTAAGAACACACCAAAACCTTGACGTCAGAGAAAACCTCATCCAACCTTAAACTAAGTTCAAATTAAGTTTTTTTTTGTTTTTTAGTAAATAGTTCAAAACTTCAAATTAAGGTAGTATTATTTGGTGTAACTGTTAGGCTGGTAGTTTATTTAAAAAGATATTACTTGTGGTAATTGCAGTATCTAATATAATTTTCATCTAGTGGCGAAATTTCGAATCCTTTTATCATTTTTCTATCTACAATATTTATAGGGAAAATTTATTAGAAACAGTCAGATTTTTATTTATGAAAAAAAAAAAAAAAAGAGAGAGTTTGACTATCAACGAAGAAGGGCTTCTTGTGTTATACGGCGTCCAATTTAGCGATCAACGATCACATTCGCTACTAACTTACAAAGATTACAATTCCTCACTAATTTCATTTAGTTTACGAATTGAGAAATTGCACACGGAAGCTAAGGTTTGGTCAACTACGTATCCTAAGAAACTCAAAGAGCTTCTCTGAGATTCGATGGTGACAAATCACAAATATAACTAGAAAAAAAACGGCCATATTAATTATGTAAAATGTAAATTTTAAGCACCTTTCTAAAGCTTATCCACAAAAAAAAAACACCCTTTTATACGGGTAATAGAAGAGGAAGATCGAAGATCCGTGTTGAGTTGTTATGCTACAAGACATGGAATGCGAAATAACAAGCAAAAATATCACGTTGACTATAACGATAGGAGTTGAATTTTTTTATTAATGTCAACGTCAATAATTCTTGTTAAAAATCATAAAAATGATTTTTAATAGTTATGGTCGTGATGGACTCGATCACCACCTATGAACGAATGATGTTAATACTACATCTTTGGACAAATGTTGTGTATGCGTATATATATACATAATAATATGAAAGTATATTATAATACTCGAATTATTGTTCGTATAGGAATGACGCGTAAATTGCAAACACTGCACGTTGACTTTCCGTAGGCCTAAAATAGCTCAAATGCATATCAAATTGCCAAGGATAACACATGGAATCAAAGAGCAACATCAAAACTTTGCATGGTGAAGAAATTAAGAGTTTTAAGGTTTGTTAAGGAATTAATTTGGGGATTTCTTCCTTAAAATCGATGAAGAAGAAAATACATTAACGTGGCAAACGACACTTCACATGTTGACTTTTCATGGGTGTAAATGATTCAGTCTTTTGGGATTTTATTGGCAAATTATGAGCTTGGGGAATTTTTTTTTAATAATATATTTATTTGGTAACGTGACCAAAGAATCTTAAAAAGCATATAATCATATTAAATTTCACGATTCGTGGGAGAAACATATATTAAAATGAAGAAAGTATATTGTAGGGTTACAATGATCACATGTGGGTTTATGAGACTTGAATTGGTCGTTTGGAAAGAGCAAGAGATGAGAAAACGGATAAAACCGCAAGAGAGACGAATGCAAAGAGAAGAAGACTGGCCGATGCGTATCCTTTACTGAAGAACTTATCCACCGGATCAGTCGATTCAAATTCTATCAATGCTAGGTATGTGTCTTTCAAATCTTTGCTCACTCCAAATCCAGCCGCCGAACCCGTCGCCAGTAAATATGAAATTATCTGTCAATTTTTTCCAATCGTTATGATTCAAATGATCAGTGAGTATTGTACATTATAGATAAATAAACTACAGATAATTATTGGACCAATTAAGTTGAGATCATAACAAAAATTTATGAATAAACATTATTTCCTAAATTATTTTGTTATCATATACGAAATTTTACTGTTATGACTTATCTTTTAATGTATTTAAAGATAATATTTACTCAAAAAATATAAAGTAAATACCTTATCACCGTAGAAATTGAACTGATAACTAAGAGGATGTGTAATTCCGGTGGCGAATTGGGAGATTGTTATGAACAGTTGTACAACGGCGTAAAGGAGTCCGATGACGGCAGCGGACAGCATGTATCTTCATGAATGATTAATCCAAATATAAATGCAAAAAAACTGAGTTAGTAAAAATATTGGATAAAAATTTTCCACGAAAAAAGAAATTTCTTTTGGTTCAAGGAAAAGGAAAAACCAATATCGAATAAAATTAGAGAATAAAACATGCAAAGAAAATAAAGAAAATTTTATTTACCTATAAGCATAGACATCGTTAAAACGCATTTTTATAGATGTCCTTAAAACTTCGAGAGTGACGGTGTTGGTGCTGATGAGGACCACCGTTATGACGAGGAAAGCCGCGGTCAAAACCCTAAGGAGGAGGAGTACTGTCCTCAACGTAACAGACGGCGGTGCTGGAGGTGGTGGAGCCATATAAATCTTCCCGTTAATTAATAGTTTCGCTTTAAAGAGTAAGATGAGGATGATTAAGGCTAAGCTGTTCGAAAGACATGGAATGTTGACTAATATATAGCCAAAATTTACGTTGACTCGAGATTGAAGAGTTGATTTTTGTTAAAGCCAATGCCAAACAAAAAAATATAACTATAATAGCCAAAATGTTAATATATATATATCAAATTGTATTCTTCAAGTCGTGCTGGAGCTTGCTGGAACTCTATCACCACTTCTAACTTAGTTATAGAAGTTGAAGTCGTGATATATTTTATTGACATGGTATAAATTTTTAGATTTTATAACAGTTTTTTTTTTCTTAATAATTTAAGTCTAAATTCATAGTCTTCGTAGCCAAAACCCCTTTGATATCATTTTTATTGGGTGTAGTCATCATCCTTTCCAAACGGGTTGGACTAGTGGAGAACAAAATCAATTTTAGCTTGTATCTATATCTAAATGATCAAAATTGAATGTTTTTATTTGTCATATTATTGTTCTCAAATCCCTGATCATTATTCAACTTTTGACATCAAATTTATAATTATGCAATCGAACCAACTGCTATTAGCGTAATTTTTGCGCCAAAATGTATTTTATATGCATACCAAATCATTAGAATCCTAGTACAACTGTACAAGTTCGAGTTGAACACGTAGCAACGATAATCCAAACCGTGTTTTTGTTGTCTATCAGTTTTAGGATTTTTTTTCATCCTGAGGAACAAAATATGTAACATGGAGTTGACTGTATAAGTCGTCGGTTTGTTGGAGTTAATTTTTACAATTTTCCAATAATTTTATATAGTCAACGAAGACTGAAAAGGTTTAGTCAATTCCTAAGAATCAAAGCCACATGCGTCGCCGTGTCCATCGCTTGCTTAGCTTCTTCCACACAATTGCTTGAAGGGCCACGATCTTCTTGCTTATTACTAATACACTTCATCTTTTTTTTTTCAACATCTATTACTATACTCAATCTATAATGTATATTAGATGTTAGGAAACGGTAGAAAATGTCTGTTTCCTACGATTTTGGTCATAGGAAACTAGATTTTTCTTGTAGTATATGTTGCCAGAAGTGTTATTGTGTTTCATTTGGAAACAAAGATGAATTTCCTTGCTACCGTGATATGAAAAACTCCAAAGGCAGATCAAAGTGTCCTTGAACATAGTTTGAAGATCCTCATCACTTACATAACATCTACGTACTACATGTATGGAAATATTAATCACATTCTATGTTAAATGTATGAAATAAAATCAATACCCAATGTATGAAATCTTTAATCTGATTTCTTAACACATCACGAAAAAAGAAATAGATATTACTCTCTCAATGCCCAATGCCCAATGCCCAAGTACTGTACATTTGAAAATTATCCAATTGAGGGTGGTTTAATCATGTAATTAATAGATTTAACCGGTTTGCATAGACTTGTGTTAAGATATCGACTATCAGAACCCCAAACATCGCGCCGTTTTGTGTTTACACAACATAACATCGTGTTGTTTTTGACTTTCAGCAACCACAGATCCAAAAACTGTTTACTTTCCTCTTAAGAGAAAGCAAAGCCGAGTCCAAGTGATTTTCGAGATTCGTTGACTCACAGACCAGAGAACACAGGCTATGTCAGAGACCGCCGTGTCAATTGATTCGGACCGATCTAAGTCGGAGGATGAAGACGAAGAAGAGTATTCGTCGCCGGTGCAATCATTTCCGGGGCCACCACCGTCGGCGAATTTCGAAAAAGATCGACACTTGATGTATTTGGAGATGATGTACGAGTTGCTTCCGTACCATTACCAATCTCAGGAGATCAATCGTCTCACTCTTGCTCACTTCATAATCTCGGGTCTTCACTTTCTCGGCGCAATAGATCGTGTATGTCTTTCTCTCTTTCTCTAATCTCTATCTCTCTGTTTTTTCCCCTGAATTTGTTTCTGTTATGTTCAATTATCAATATTCAATTTCTGAAGGTTGACAAAGATGTTGTTGCGAAGTGGGTTTTGTCCTTCCAGGCCCTTCCTAGTAACAGAGTTTCACTGAAAGATGGTAACTTTATCGAATTTAGCTAGAAGCATGTTTATGAGCAAATTCTTAATTAGCCATTGCTCATGTTCTTTTTTTTTCTGCAGGAGAATTCTATGGTTTCTTTGGTTCAAGGAGTTCTCAGTTCCCCATTGATGAGAATGGGGTAATTTATAAGTCTATTCTTTATGTTTTCTATATTACAAGATTTTATCTTTGTTTTGAATCTGTGTGGGCTTGACATTTAGTTTGTTGCACAGGATTTAATTCACAACGGTAGTCATTTGGCAAGCACTTACTGTGCCTTGGCCATTCTGAAGGTTATTGGACATGATCTCTCGATCATTGACTCGGAATCGTTACTGTTGTCCATGAAAAACCTCCAACAGGTTGATGGAAGGTATTAGTTATTGGAGCTTAAAGAAGCACAATGCATTCGTAATGCCATAACATGATGCAACGAGTTCGTTATGTCAGCATATAACAAACTAATATTTAATGGGGCCCTTTGTTTATTTTGCTACAGCTTCATGCCTATCCATATTGGAGGTGAAACGGATCTTCGATTTGTATATTGTGCAGGTAAGGAATAGCTACCTAACAGGATTTACATACACAATGTCTTTATACTTTTAGTAGAGTATCATTCTAGTTTTTTGTTTGTGGATCAGCTGCAATCTGTTACATGCTGGATAATTGGAGTGGAATGGACAAGGAGAGCGCTAAGAACTACATATTAAACTGTCAGGTTTACTTCTGCTCTTGTGTAGTTGTTTTGTCATTTTTATTCCATTGTTATTTGTCAATTTCTGTGTTAAGAAGACATTCTTGTGAAACATTCTTTGTGCAGTCATATGATGGTGGCTTTGGGTTGATCCCTGGTTCTGAGTCTCATGGTGAGTTGAAAACAATTCTTCTAGTTGATTTTTTCCATGTGCAGTCCAACTAAGTAGCACATATGTTAGCTAGAAATTGTTACTGAATTGGTTTTTGAGGACGATATAGATAACTAAGTAACTAAGTTCATGCATTTAGGTTTCTACTTCAACGGCAACACAGAAAGGAAACAAGTTTACTATATATTCTTATGTTATGAGGCATTGGGTTATTTGACTCCACTCGTGTATGATGTTTACCTACGTTCTGCAACTTAGTTATGCAGGTGGTGCCACTTACTGTGCTATTGCATCCCTTCGGTTGATGGGATACATTGGAGTTGATCTGCTGTCAAATGATTCATCCAGATCAATAATAGACCCTTCATTACTTCTCAACTGGTGCCTACAGGTACTGCTTCATAAAATCTGTTAAATTTACTGACTGTAAATATTACCTTCAGTTTCGTAATGATCCTGAGTGATCTGACGGTTTTTCTTACCTTGCCTGTAGAGACAAGCCAATGATGGTGGGTTTCAAGGTAGGACTAACAAGCCAAGTGACACATGCTATGCATTTTGGTTAGTCCTCTCAACTTTTGCTGTCACTGGCTCTAATTTTTCCCATCCACTGAGAATATGGCCTTGCACATCTGTGTAGGATTGGAGCTGTCCTTAAACTCATAGGAGGCGATGCATTGATTGACAAAATTGCTCTGCGCAAATTTTTACTGAGTTGTCAGTCCAAGGTAACTCTCATATCTCAGTTGATATTAATTCCAAAATTTGTACAGTAACTGGGTAGATAAGTGAATCTGCAACTAAGCTTATACTCCCTCCGTATTTTAATAAGTGTCGTTTTAGAATTTTTACTTTTTTGAATTGGATGTCGTTTTCAAATTTCTATGCAAAATTTATTACTTTTTAATGTTTTATGACATCATAAAACATTAAAAAGTAATAAATTTTGCATAGAAATTTGAAAACGACATCTAATTTAAAAAAAAAAGAAAATCCTAAAACGACACTTATTAAAATACGGAGGGAGTAGTTATTTAGCAAAAATACTAATAGCAGCCTATAGAGCCAATATGATAGTTAGGTACATTGTCTTCATTCTTGTGTTTACATCTTCGATTCATGATCGGTTACTGATGATAATTAACACCGCCATTATTTGTGCATTTTTGTGTCCAGTATGGTGGATTCAGTAAATTCCCCGGACAATTACCGGATCTGTATCATTCGTACTACGGTTACACGGCTTTCAGCCTCTTGGAAGAACCGAGCTTGAGTCCTCTATGTCCTGAGCTAGGGCTACCTCTTCTTGCAGCCTCGGGGATTTGATTTTTTGATTGCCTCAAAGTCACACGTTCTTCTATCACCACACTGTAACATTTATTTCAAGTTTTCAACATTGCGTAAGGCTCACTCTGTTTCAGCAGTTAGCTGGAATATTCAATTATTAATTATTATTTTGCTCTTGATATGGTAACATTGCTAAAACTCACAAAATGAAAATTGTAAACCAAATTTAATTTTCTTTTTTTAAACTAGGGACGAAAAATCGATCTTTCAAATCATAAATCTGCAGAATCGTGTGATTAGTAAGATGTTGCATAATGGTGTAAGAAAATTCGGCAAAGAAACAAAAGACTATTATTGTAAGAGATAATTTTGCAGTTTCACTTTGTTAACGAGTGAGTGGTGTTGTTGACGCCACTTGGATGAAAAGTATCAGACATAAACTGCAAGAATTGGGACAAAATCCTAAAGGGAAAGAGATTCCCCACTTGGTCTCTCATGAGTCTTGTCTCTATTCATATTCGTCTTTATTCCAATTTACCGGTCGATGTTCAATTCAATACCGTAAAAAGAATTATTCTTACTGTAGCGTTTTCGAAGCAAATGATCTCGAATAAATCAAATAAGATTAGTATATAATTCTTTAACTTTTCTCTTCACGTGTTCTGTTTAACTTTCTAAACTCCATATTCGATAAAATTTGAGAATTAATTCCTTTTTAAAAGTGAAAGTCGGTTTACGATTTGAGTGCTGAGTTCATGCATCTTTAAATGTCAACCACAACACTCTGGTAACTTTGCTAGAAGAAAATAGAATCCAAAGCCTATCTTTATTCGCTTGATTTGATTCAAAATCCACAAATTTGGCTAACGATCCACCGAAAATTTACAATCGGTTTAATCCACCAAAAAAGTGTTGATGATTAAGGATGATTAAATCAGACCAAAAAACCGGTCTAATTCTATTAATCATCCCTGGTTTTCTCCAAGACCTCATCTTCTTGATTGAACTTGAACAAATCCGATTCTTGAACTGTGTACCAATTTTAGCCCTTTGAATTTACTCAGCTTCTGCAATCTCCATCACTCTCTTCTTGTAGAGCTTTTCTTCAGCGTCTCTTAAGAACTTGAATCTCGACAATGGCGAAGATGAAGATGATGATGGTGAATGTGATGATGACAATGGAGATGATCTCACTAGTCTATTAAACTCAGCATCAGACGATGACTCGAAGAAACTCGAGATCTCTTCTTTTCTACCATTACAAGATTCCATTAGTAATGGAGTTAAAGGAGGCGTGAACAACGAAGGAGAAGCACGAGGAGTGAGATATGGAGGAGTTATGGCACCACTTTCCATATTAAGAAACAAATCATTCAAACTCTTTCCTTTTGTGGAAACCACATCTTCAGATTCCATTTCTTCCACTGTTTCCTCTATGATTGTGAACAGAAACCTCGGCACAAGCCCTGGACCACCAACATTCTCAAAACCATTATTCAGAGGACAGTGTTGTTGAGTTTCAATGGGTTTAGGGTTTGAGAAAGAGGAAGAAGAAAGAGGAGAAGAAGAAGGGTTTGTGCTACTACTACAACAGAAGATAAAGAGAAGCTCTCTGGTTCCAGGGGTAGAATAGTCATTACGAAAATCAGGTCTTCTCGTCGTCGACCTCTTCTTACACCAAAGCAAGTAATAGAGCTCAGCAAGAAGAGCTAGTAGCAAACAACCAAAGACTATGCTTAGAGCAAGTCCCACACTGCTCAAAGATCTCATATTTCTTCTTCTTCTAGATAAGATTCACTTCTCTTATTCATCGTTAATCCAACACAAAGAGAAGTCCTTTTTATCCGATTCGATACCAAATGTGAAATGCAGAAGGAATGGAAACTATGGAGGTTGTTTATGATTCTGAGAAAAGAAAAGGGTTTTTGTAGAGACGAAACTAGCTAGAATAAAGTTGGGATGAAAGAAAAGCTTGAGAATGTGAAAATAAATAATTTTCTAAAAAAGGTGTTTATATAGCCAAGTGTGGAAGTGAAACTCACTCGTATTTTAGAATCAATAAAATGCTTAAGTGAATACGAAATCTTACCCTTAATGAAAGACTCTAGCTACTGACCATAAATTTTTTTCAATTTCTATCCCATGTTAAATGATGATTTTTATCATTAACGATGAATGAATCAAACTCCATGTATCATTGTGACAATTCTATTAATATATAAGAGACTACTCGCGGTGTTATAGTATATGCATCATGTTCACAATAAATCGTCAACATACATATGTTCGTAACATTTGAAATTATGAGGAACAACCCTACTTAACTACACCATTCTGAAAATATTTGGTAAGTTTATCTCTATTAATGGTATATTAATGCGAATCGAACTCCAAACCTACTATCCTAGTATACTAAATAAACTTTGTTTGGGCTAACCACGAGATGGACGAATGAGACTTTCAATTTTGAAAATTTCAGGTTTTTATAATCTTTGATTTACTTACTTAACTTTGTTATATATAAAATGAAAAACGTTTGCAACAATTTTTCACTTTTATCACAAAAATAAACATTGTTTTTTTTTTTCTTTATCTTCAAATAGTTCCTTACAAAGCATCACATATGATCGGATAGCACTTCAAGGCCTTAGCCCATGTGAATGTGACGCATATGCAGTAAGATATGTGAACTTGAAACTGACTAACACAAGTAGCAATAAAAGAAAAACATAAATGAAATAGAGTGAGATTTGTTTGTTTTGCGGTTCTTCATGTTGATTGATATCAAAGTCAGAGTCAGATTAGCCTACCAAATCGAAGTGTCAGTGATTCCGCCTCAATAATATAATTTCGTAATGTGGCATCAACAATTATCTAGCCTCTTCCATCAACCAATCACAACTTTATATAGTAGGCCACTTGATGACTTGTTTAAATCCCTTTATTCTCTTGAGTTCGTGACCAACATTTTTGCAAGCAAAGTGGTATCATGGATTCCTAAATAACAGAAACGTTGGGAAATTGGAAATTTATGTTCCTTGGGTTCATCATGCATCTTCACATGTCGTATATTGCATTTCCTTTTATACACGGCATTATATATAGCAAACTTAATTTTTGCTTCTCTCCAACTTCAACTAAAACACAATCTAACAGATAGAAAATAAAACCACTTAGTTCCCACCACAGATTTTTTAGATTATCATTATCCGTATTTTATGAATGACAATAACAATTTGTGATTATTTATTGTATTAACGATCCCACACACAAAATATCTTAATTATCCATCAACCTTAAAAATATGCGGACCGTCTCACAAAGTCACAAATACATACAGCTCTGCTATCCTTTAAAATCCCGATAATACCCTCCTTTGCAAGGATAGAACGGGTACGTGTTCATTACCCAACCCAGCTTTTTTTTTGCTTCTTACGTGTATATGACTAGACACGTAGGTCCCACTCAGCACCACGACAACCCAATAAACCTATAAAAACAAAAACAAAAATAAATAAATTATTTCCTTTTTCTTTTCTCATATATATCCTTTGTTTCTTCTTTCTTTTTCCCCGAGATTTTTTTCCTCTGTTCGGTCAGCCATTGAATTTTTGGCTCTAAAAAAGAATTCCGAACGGTGAATAGAGAGAAGAATGGGAATTCTCAACGACGACGCCGTTTTAATCGAACCGGGAAAAATCTCCGGCGATCCCACAATCGTTACCGTCAATTGTCCCGATGAATCCGGTCTCGGTTCAACTCTCTGTAGAATCATCCTCGAATTTGGTCTCTCCATTACCCGAGCAGGTCAATATTTAATTTGACTTCGTATCTGTTTAAGGGAATATTCTCTGTTTGTCGTTTAGTTTAACGGAATATTCTTCTTTATGATTCGAAATTCTGTTATGTTTTTCTAATTTGATGTTTGTGAAAATGGTGTTTGCAGATTTTTCAACAGATGGAAGATGGTGTTATATAGTGTTTTGGGTTACTCCAGATATTAGCTCACCTAGAATTGATTGGGACAGCTTAAAGAATCGTCTTTTATCTGCTTGTCCATCTTGCTTAGGCTCTTTCTACTTCTGTCTTCAATCCAATGTCTCTAAGCCTCCTTCCCTTTATCTTCTCAAGTTCTTCTGCCGTGACAGGAAAGGATTGCTTCATGGTATGTGTAAAGTTATTGTCTTTTGTCTTGTTTTTGGTGTTTTACTTGAGATTGTTGCTAAGAAATTTTGTGCTTGATGATTGTAGATGTTACTAAAGTTTTGACAGAGCTAGAGTTTACGATACAAAGAGTCAAAGTCATGACAACACCAGATGGAAGAGTTTTGGACATGTTTTTCATCACTGACGCAATGTGAGTATTTTTCTTCTGATTCTTATGGTTCATTTGAGAGTAGAAGCAACATTAACGTTGTGGTTTGTGTGACAGGGATCTATTGCACACGAAACAGAGGCAAACCAAAACGTGTGACCATCTAACGGCTGTGCTTGGTGAGCATGGTGTGAGCTGTGAGCTTGAACTAGCTGGGCCTGAGTTAGAGAGTGTGCAACGGTTCTCTTCACTTCCACCTCTGGCTGCTGATGAGCTGTTTGGCCCAGATGGGTTTGATAATAGCGGCTCTAGCTCTAACAAAGCGGTTCTCACGGTTGATAATCAGTTGAGCCCTGCGCATACGGTGCTTCAGATTCGTTGTGTTGATCAAAAGGGGCTTTTCTATGATATCCTCAGAACTTCCAAAGATTGCGATGTCCACGTACGTTAAGAGAACCTAACCTTACTACGATTCTGTTAATCGAAGTTACGGTTTTCAGGCTTGCTCCTTGGATTTGGTTGAAAGATTTGTGTAACTCAAGCAGTACTTGTTTCTTTATTCAGATTGCCTACGGTAGGTTCTCCTCCAAGGTTAAAGGCTATCGGAATTTGGAGTTGTTCGTTCGAGGTACAGACGGTAAGAAAATAGTGGACCCAAAACATCAAGCCAACTTCTGTGCTCGACTTAAGGAGGAAATGGTGTGTCCTTTGCGAGTGATTATTGTAAACCGAGGACCAGATACTGAGCTATTAGTAGCCAACCCTGTGGAGCTATCTGGAAAAGGAAGACCACGAGTTTTCTACGATGTCACACTTGCGTTGAAATCACTAGGAATCTGCATCTTCTCCGTAAGTATAATACATTGTGTTCTCTAAGCTTTTTAACGGTTAATACGGTTTGTTTAAGATTGGCATTGTGTTTTCTTCTAGGCTGAGATTGGGAGGCATTCGACTTTAGATCGACAATGGGAAGTTTATAGATTTCTTTTGGATGAGAGTCGTGAATTCCCGTTGGCTAGTCTCCGTGCGAGAAATCAAGTAGTAGATAGAGTCACAAAGACACTTATGGGTTGGTGAAGTGGATGAGAGTGAGCTTTCATGAACCTTATCCTACTCAAGGGGCCAAAGAAACCAAGCCTTCTTCGGTTGCGGCTTCGGGTCGATGAAAAGAGTGAAGCAAGGGGGTTGTGATTCGGAGTTTGATTGCTGTTGTGTGGAGCTAATACCGTTGTAAAGCTTTGGAAATTGTAAAGGATTATATAGCGCAATTGCAACGAATGCTTGTAAAAACTCACTTTGCAAAGGTAAACCGACCGTTGTCTAGGTGGTACGTACGAGGGACAACAGAGTCACAGTGTGTTGAATGTGCGAGTGTTGACCCGAGCCAGGTTCGATTCAAATGCAAACATGTTACATGAAGGTGCAGTTATACATTGGGGATCATATGGTAATTAGACAAATTGCCATCAAAGAGAAGCACTTATCTATATGTATTTTTGTTAATCCATACTAGAATTTGTTTGTTAATATATGGTTGGTTGCCATCAATATATTCCATCTAGTACTGTGCTAATTAATCCCTCATGAATGAGAGTTATATAAGTTGAAGAAAAAGGAAATAAAGCAATAGATGCAAATTGTCAAGTCCATAATTATTTATTTTACCTTTGGAAACTGAAATAAGATTCGAAAATTAACGGTTTAACAATTAAACAGTTAAAAGAAAAAAGGAAAACGCGTAAACTAAATAAAAACGAAGCAGTAGGGTTAATTTCGTCGTTTCGTTATCCGATATCGCTCGCTACTGCTCCATCGGCGGCTAGAGTAATCCAGTGCAGAGGTCCCATCTTAACGAAAGCTGTGATTCTCCTTCCTTCGTCTTTCAATTTCATTCTTAGGTTTTGAAATTCATGTGTTGTGAGAGCCGAGGAAGATGACGACACCAATTACCGCGAAACACGCTCCGGTTACCGGAAAAGAAGAAGGCGAGCTATCTGCCTCCGACGACGAAGTATCAATTCTCTCTAAAACAAAACTATAATTTCTATTTTCTGCTGTTGATTTTCATAGTCTGCGAATCTGAATCCTGTTGCTGGATGTGAACATAGAAACTGATTTCTCTCGATGTGTTTTTTTAGATCTGCTTGCTTGTTTGATATTGTGTGGGTTATGGATTTAGGGTATATATTGCTCTAGTTCAGAGACTAGAGCTTGTTTCTTACTGATTTTTCCGTTGATGATTTGATTTCAAAGCTTTCGTGTTGCATTTATTGCGGCAATCCACAGTTTCCAGAATTTTTTTGATTAGCAGATTTCAAAACCCTAAAATTTCAACAATTTTGGTTTTCTTAGGTACAACCAATGCAAACAAGCACAAGAGCTCCTCTTACTGAGCATGTATCAGTTCCTTCAGCTAACACAAATATCCAAAGGCGTCAAGCTGGTAAATATTATTTGTCATCTGCTCCAAGCAATTGGCTCTGTCTTTTTCTTGTTTTTGTTCAGTCCTCTGGAGATTTATGAGCAAGAAGAGACTTTTATCCGCTCTGAGCTTCACGTGAATCTCTGTATCTACCTTGTGTTTTGATCGGTATTTACTCTACAGGAGCTTCTGATGTTTTACCATGTTTCTAGAATAGAGGATATTGGAGATGTACACATACCTTGATCAGCATCAAACTTTTACAGCAAATAGTTAGTGCACATTGTAAATCAATGTACCAAACTACTTATGTGTGTTTTCTGTTACTTATTTGTGGCGTGTGAAGCTTGATTCTCCTGCCTTTGAAATTTCAATATTGATTATTTAAGTCGTTTGAAACTCTTCTCAATGAAGTTGCCTCTGAAACAAACTCCTTTTGATTTTTTTCATTGTGACTTGTCAGGAAATGGTGGATCTTTAATTAAGCCTTCTGATGCTACACCGACAAAGCTGACACACCCTGGAGGCCGGATATTTGAGAAGAAGCAAGCCATTGCTGCCATTCATGGGAAGAAATTTCTTGCAAGGGGCAACAACAGCAACCTCGTGATAAACTTCTCAGATGATGATAGTGGTAGTGAATCTGATGGTAAAGGACGGACACAGACATCAAAGATTCAACCAAAGGGAACCATGTCTGGGAATAGAAACCTGTCTACATTTTCACAAACAAAATTGAAAGGACCAAGACAAACTGATAACCGAGCCATAACAAAGAAGCCATTGCCCACTAGCACCTTTAGTCATGCTGCGACTTCCAAAGTTTCCAACCTTTCATCTGCTAAGGAAATGAAATCCAATAAAAATATTCATACCTCTGAAAGGACGGTTAGCAAAGATACACGGCTTCCTGAACAGATTGTGAATCCCAATAACAACAAATATCAGGATTTGAAGCAGCAGATTGCGCTTCGGGAAAGTGAGCTGAAGCTTAAGGCTACACAGCCAAAGAAGGATGCTATTAACCCAAAAATCAGTCCAGCAAGGAGAGTCAGTATTATTTCTGATGATACTAGACAGCTAGAACCAAACGAACCTGCCAAGAAGCGCTTAAAAGTTAGTGGAATTGACACAAGTCAGCCTGTTACTGATTACAGAGTGCCAGCATCTGCTGCCGCACCAATGGATGTGCCAGACATCCGTAAAAGTCTACTGCCAGGTGAGTCTGGAGGCAAACATTGAATATGCTACTGGCTGTTTCACTTAAACTCTATCTTGGTTACGGTATTTAGTGTTTTGATTTTTCCCACATCTGATATCACCTGACTCTGATGTTTATTGCAGGTGTCAATGCAAATCCTAGTTGCAAGCACCTCGGAAGTAACAGTGATGAGATTGTTCCACCTGTTGTTTCTCAGCACACTGTGGAAAGAAATACTAGCTCAAGTGTCGTACAAAAAAGCCCTGTACGTGTTACCACGGTTTTGTGTTTTGTACTTTACTAGAATTGGAAAATTTGACTCAAAGATTATTTAGCTTTGCTACTTTTGGGCCAGTATTTTTCTTTATTTAAGCATAATTATTTTTATTGCAGGGCAAAGCTAATTGTTACGAAGGTGGAAGAGAACTGGAAACAATGAAAAATGTTGATAGGATCGTGTCAAGTGATCAGTTACTTAAAATAGTCAATGGAAACCATCAGGTTTTTTCTAGATCCTCAAATAATGACTTGGAGGCAGCTGGTAGGATTTTGTGATCCTTACTTTTGATTTTTTTTTTCTTCTTGCAATTTAGCCTTGTTTGAATAATTCTGGCCTCTGGAACATCCCGGGAAATACAACAGCTCCTGGACATAGTCAACTGGATATGCTATCCTTGACGAACCTAGAGGAATCACTTGACAAAGAGTTGGAGGAAGCACAAGAACGTAAACGCCTTTGTGAAATTGAAGAAAGAAATGCTCTTAAGGTTTATAGAAAGGCACAGAGATCTTTGATAGAGGCAAATGCCAGATGTGCAGAACTTTACAGTAAGAGAGAAATTTTATCTGCTCATTATGGATCTCTCATCGTGCGCGACTCCAGATTGTTGTGGCCTTCTATACATGGTGAGAATCCTGAAACTGGGTTTCACTTCTTGAATAATAGTACTGGAAATATTGATTTGGCAACCAAAACGGACATCGCTCAGCATACTCAGCTAGAAAGCAACCACAGATATAACAGCGATTATGGTGGCAGTCATCCTCCACCTCATTCCCGTAGTGGACAGAATTTGGGTTCAGAACCGTACAGTGATCTTGGTGCTAGTACCTCTGATGGGTTGCCTTGCAGTAACAAGCAAACTGCAAGTAGACTATGCTCCCCATCAAGTAATGCAAACATTTTGCCAGATGACGAGTCATTTCCAGTTGACCATGAATCTACGGAGGGGAACCTTGGACATCAAACAGAAAATCTTGATCAAACACTAGGCAATCAGAATGCTTTGCTTCTTGAAGCATCATTAAGATCAAAATTGTTTGAGCGTCTAGGCATGAGGGCAGAATCTAAGGGTGGCACATGTTTCAATGGAGATACTGTGATAGATAGAGGGGATGAAAGAGAAGTTGCAAGTGAACAAACCCAGAGAGATGATGGTAGTCCTTTCTCCGAAATATATCAGCATAATGATTCTCGAGGTAAGGAGTTTATCTATAAGAGATTGGCATTTTGCTTAGTTATTTTATGAATTGTTCATGTTATGTGTGGCTGTGCATTCCCTTCAGAAAGGGAAAAAAATAGCATGGTCGTTTTGCAACCTGATTTTACATTGCGGATAGCATGTGCATGAACTGGCGCCAAATTCCCTGGCGCCAAATTCCCTGGCTTGTGATGAGTTCCCATAGCATTGTCCGAGATGGCTGAACCAACGTGGTCCTCATGTGCTTCACTTCCCTTTTTATTTTCAGTAAGATGTCTTCCTGTTTTCAATTTCAGAGCCAGGGGCCAATAAACTGCAAGGAAGTCCCTCCGAAGCACCAGTTGAACGACGCTCAATTGTGGAATTTCAGTCATCTGTAGATATGGAGTCCCATAGGAGTTCACCAGAGAATGACCTTTTATCGTCTGTAGCTTTGTCAGGTCCTTTATTTCGTGGCACAATCTATCATCTGAAAGTCCCAGGGTCTTCAATTACGTCTCTGGGACCAGAATATACACTTCAAAACAAGTCATATAGCCTATATAGTGATAAAAGACAATGTAGGAGCTTGACTCAGACTACAGTATATGAGAAAAAAATTGGCTTCTACACCTGTAATTTGAAGGTGGACCCTTCTTGGCCTCTCTGCATGTACGAGTTACGTGGAAGGTGCAATAATGATGAATGTTCTTGGCAACATTTCAAGGATTTCTCTGATGACAGTTTGCATCAAAGTCTACATGATCCTCCTGGTACGGTAGAATATTTTTGTTAAAGAGTTCTAGAAATGATATTTCTTTGCTAAAATTCCTAATTTATTGGTGTTGCAGATGGTAGAGTTGGGTCAAGTTCACATCAGAAGAAACATAATTCTTCCAAAGGATCCCAGATTTTGGACACGGTGGTTTCACCAACTTATCTTGTCTCCTTGGATACGATGAAGGTTGACTCGTGGTCTTATGAGTCCGTTCTGGCTCAAAGACATGGACAAATATGGTGGAAGCACTTTAGTGCTTGCCTAGCCTCATCAAACTCGCTTTACAGGAATGTACCTGCAAAGGAAAATGAAGGTCGAATTGAGGTCCTAGGAAATTCAAAAACATACTCATCATACTTCAGGATTAAGCATAGCTTGATGGTTTGTCTTTGTTTTCTCTTTCTTTTAATTTTTAACCTTAAATTTTGCTAATATCTAGCTGCAGATCTGACCGTTGTTTTATTCTTTTGTTATTCTTACTGTATCATCTTGCACTGACCTGCTTGGTGCATTCGTAGAATATCCTTAAACAAGGTTCAGATGCTGCTGTTGAACCCATGGAAATGGCTCTTATTATTTTCTTTCGAGAAGTTGAGCAGTCAGAAGGCTTGATCCAGGCAATGTTGTTTGATTCCTGTCAATATTGTGTTGTATCAAATATAGCTCTCGTTCTAATTCTGGTGGCACATATTTCAGGCCCTTGCTTTGCTCTCACAATGTCTTGAAGGTGACCCAACTTCTGAGATTCTTTGGACTGTTTATCTCCTGATTTACCATGCATATGAAGGATCAGATGGGAAAGATATGTTTTCTTATGGGGTATGTTATCCCCTGCTACGATATTGCCTGCATCTACATAACCACACCATGTGCATATTATGATTGATTGTTTGTGTATGTTTGCATATATTCATATATCTGATCCAACTTGGTGTTTCTCATAGTGCTTTACAGTTTCCGAACTTCTATATAGATTTCTTGGCATATTATTATCTTTTTCAGTTTGTTTTCCAGTTACTAGTTAATTTTTTTATCTTTGCTATAGAATGCTTTGATTCTTAACAATCTTTCCGCCTGGTTTATATGGGATAACTTTTCAACTCTTCAGGTCAAACACAGTAGCAGATCATACGTAATTTGGCTTATGTACATCAACAGTCGAGGACAACTTAATGATCAATTTATTGCATATGATGCTGCCCTCTCGGCACTTTGCAACCATGCGTCTGGGTCTATTGACAGGAATCATGCCAGCGCTTGCATATTAGATGTTTTGTTGCAGATGTTCAACCTTTTGTGCATTTCTGGGAATGTTTCACAGGCAATACAGAGAATATCCAAGCTTCAGGCTCCAGCAGCAGTTTCTGATGACCCTGACTTTTCACTGATGTCTCACATTCTCACATGCTTAACATATTCTGACAAATGTGTGTTCTGGGTTTGTTGTGTGTACTTAGTTATTTACAGGAAGCTGCCTGACTCTATTGTCCAACGACTTGAAATGGAGAAGGAACTACTGGAAATAGAATGGCCATCTGTTAATTTGGATGGTGATGTGAAGCAAATGGCGCTCAGACTATTTGATAAAGGGATGCGTTCCGTAGAACATTGTACCAATGGGTTGTCGGAAAATGGAATACAAAAGCGACCTGCTGGGCTATTTGCTCTGAACCACGCCCTGTTTATGGTTGCAGTAGATGAATTGGAAAGCTGTAGGGACATTTTGAAGGCATCTGTTAAACTCTACCCAACTTGCTTGGAGCTGAAATTGTTAGCAGTTCGGATGCAATCAAATGAGTTAAAGGATTTGTTTTCGTCTGGGTTTGAAGAGCTTCTCAAGCAGGAAGCAAAAGAGGCATCATGCATACAATGTATTTGGAATCAGTATGCTGAATATGCTTTGCAAGGAGGGAGCTACGACTTAGCAAGAGAACTCATGTCCCGTTGGTACGTGTCAGTATGGGATGTATTGTCCCATAAGAATAAGACAGTACTGGCTAATGAAGAAGAAGGTGATGATAGTTTGCTGGAATCAGCTTTATCAGATATTGATCTAAATGTTGCATCGGATCAGGTGGATGTGATGTTTGGATATCTTAATCTCTCTCTGCATAATCTACTGCAGAGTAACTGGACCGGGGCTCGCTCGGCCATTGACCAAGCACTAAAAGCTACAGCTCCTGAGCATTTTATGCACTGTCTTAGAGAGCATGCTGTGTTTCAGCTAATCAACGAGTTGCAAGCAACGGGTGAATTTTCAATCAACCTACAAATGAGATTACTCAACTCTTATTTGGATCGAGCAAGTTCTTTACCTGTAAAAGAGCCACTATCTTGGAAGTTCATCAGCAACAGCGCTGAGAAACCGAGAGTCAGGAAGCTAGTTACAAACCTTCTTGCTCCAATTTCATCTGAACTCTTAGCGGTGAATGTTGTTCTTGAAGCATGGCACGGACCATCTCTTGTACCCGAGAAGCTAAGCAAACAAAAGGAACTGGTGGATTTTGTTGAAACAATCTTAGGGTTGGTTCCATGCAATTACCCGCTGGCTTTGTCTGTAAGTAAGCTGTTAAGGAAAGAAGAGAAACATTCAGATTCTAGTTCCTCCTCGGGTATTAATTTCTGGGCAGGTCTGAATTTGGTGAGTACAATATCTTGTGCCATCCCAGTAGCTCCGGAGTATATTTGGGTGGAGGCTGGAGAAATAGTGAGCAATATCAATGGTTTCAAGACAAGAGCTGAGAGATTCTTGAAGAAAGCTTTGTCTGTATATCCAATGTCTGTGAAGTTATGGAGATGTTATCGGAGTTTATGCAAAAATATAGAAGAGAGAAGAGGTATTGAGATCGAAGAAGCAGCCAGAAAGAAAGGAATCACTCTTGATTGATATGATAATTTGAAAGTATCAAGTCTTTTGATTTTGTCCCCCCTATATATATAGCAAAAGTAAGAGTTAATATTAGTAAAGGGGGATTTTTGGAAAAGAAAGAAGGGGAATATACAGTTTAATTAAAAAGTTTTAAGTCAATACGAATTATACGTTTAACATTCTTCTGAGTTTTTTCTTCTTCTTTTGGATATTTTAGATCTTTAATAGAAAAGTTCAGTCATTTGCTCTCTAATCCAAAAAACATTGCATTTCAAAATTATTGACAATGAATTTCTATTCCAAGGCTACCAGCCAGAAGATGGACAAAGTTTAGTTGCTTGAAGAATTAGTCTTGTTTTTGTGGCTTAAAATACTAATTTAAATAGTTAGTACTAATTTTTAATTTAGTACCTTTTTTAATCTATCTAGACTCATTTAAGGTTTTGTCTCCATCAGCAGAATACACTGCTCTTGAAACTATGTTGATAACAAAAGTTTTGTGACTAATACAAACATTTTTTTTATATATAACTTGGGGTGATTTGGCCTAAAGGATCTGACTAATCATGAGTGCTTATTGGGTATTAGCACACCATGTTATTAAACATCCATCCCGAAGTCAAGAGCTAACTGACCCAACATATGTGAATATGTACTGTTTGTGTTTCTAGTAGTAGTCGAACTAGGGGTAGAACGTACTAGAGTTTACACTTTATCTCCTTATCACCAGACCAAGGCCGGTCAATTAGAGATACAAATTGTATGTATACAAAGATTATAATCCATTCAGCAATCAATGATACCACTTGGGACCGGCCATAACACCAAAAGAGTAATAATAAGCAAAAGAGTAACAAGGCTCTTGACGCCAAAAGAGTAATAATAAGTAAACGACCAATCAAAAAATCAACAAGAAAACACCAAAAGAGTAACAATTAAGTCCCAAAAAATAGGTTCATAAAAATCCTTCTAGTAGAAAAAACCAAGCACTTTACCCCCAACATTTTTCTTCCTAGCCTCTTCATGGTCCATGATTCCAGCTGATGTTGTCAGGACAATGTACCCAAACTGCTCAATTTGGTACACATAATTTTGTCAGATCCCATAATGATCACACACAATAAAACATAAATATAATTGTTATTTTATTTTTACCTGTCTTGAAGGGAGCAATTTAGCAGTCCAACCTTCAATTTCCTTGACGCCAACATCATATCGAGGACTAATAACACCGCAGTTGTTAAGCCTTCCATTAAGCTCAACCACAATCTTACCGGATCTGTGATCATCCACATATTCAAACTCTGCAATGTAACCTATATAAACCAAAGGAAAAAGTTTGTGTTTCAAAGTCAAAACTGAACATTTTAGAGACTTCAGCATGTTTTATTCGATACGGTATTATTTTCTTAAACCTAAAAAAAAAAAAAGAAATCAAACAACAAAAGCTCAAATAAGCTCATCGAGTAAAACAATTGTACCATGCTTTTGCATCACAGTGAGAAACTTAATGATCACTTTAGAAGAGGGTTTTATCATGACTTGGCGTTTCCCTCGTTTCTCTGCATTACTCATGCTCTTAAGACAATCGTTTAAGACGCTAGCCCTCACCATTATCGCCTCTACATACATAAATATAAGAATTGCCTCATAAGATTCATGACTTGTGACATAAAAGAATCATATATTCAGACTTTTTGCACCTGCCGATTTCAATTTCAACTATATTACAAAGGTTAAATTTCTCAGGCAGAACAAAAACCTACCAAAGTTACTTACGTAAAGAGTACAACTAGGGTTTCGAAGGTTTTGAACTAGGGTTCTTCGACGGAGAATATATAGCACAACCCTAATCTCTCCTTTATATACTTTTCCATTTACTAAGAAGCCCATCTTTCGGGGGTAAAAAAAAAGTAAAAAAGAAAGAGCCCAACCGGATTCGAACCGGTGACCTATTGATCTGCAGTCAATTGCTCTACCACTGAGCTATAGGCTCTTGTTGTCTTTTACTGTTTAATACATCATATAAATCCCCTAAAAGTAAAATTATATTTCATCATGCAATATTAGTGTTTAGAGGTTTGTATTAGTAGTATACAATTAAAAGCCAACAAGAGCCTATAGCTCAGTGGTAGAGCAATTGACTGCAGATCAATAGGTCACCGGTTCGAATCCGGTTGGGCTCTTTCATTTTATGGGTTAATAGAGATTTCCAACAGAGACAAAGTTGATGATTTATTTTAGAACACTTTTTGCACAGTTGAGGATTTTTCCAACAATTTCCCCAATTTCAATTGTACACAGAGAGATTTTTAATACAATAAAAGAGAGAGAAGAAGAATTGGATTTTCTCAAACTTGTATCCAACTACAAGCAGGAACTTTCTTAATTCTTGATAGATTATTAGCCTCTCCTAATCTCTGATCTTGACCATAATGAGAAGGATTTAGTGGCTCAAGCTTAACAAGCTGACACAATGCAGCATTACTTAACCACAAATTAGAATGCATTCTTGAAGAATTTAATAAAGCTCCCCATACTCCTACACTTGCTTTCACTCGCATTCTTCTCACCATTTCCACAGCTTCATCAAACAAACCGGCCTTCCCTAATAGATCTACCATACACGCGTAATGTTCAACTTCTGCGTCGATCTTGTGTGTCTCTTCCATTTCCTTGAACATTTGTTTTCCTTCTTCAACTAACCCCACGTGTCTACAAGCTGAAAGAATACTGAGAAAGGAAACAGAGTCTGGTTTGAGTTCGTTTTCTTGCATAGACAAGAAGAGTGAGACCGCACAGCTTGCTAGACCGTGGGCTGCGTAAGCGGATAGCATAGTGTTCCATGAAATCATGTCTTTGTTGCTTATCTCGATAAAGCATCTCTCGGAAGATTCTATCATTCCACATTTCGCATACATGTCAACTAGGCTGTTTCCTGCGGGCGTGTGGGAACAAAATCCAAACCGGATGAGACTGGAATGAACCGACATTCCTACTCTCAAGACTGCTAATTCTGCTGCTGCGCGTACGATGTTAACAAAAGTGACTGCATTTGGCTGAAATTTCTCAACCTTCATCTGACGAAAAGTGGCAATAGTTTCTTCAGCCTGGCCATGGAGTAAGTACCCATTCATCATTATATTCCAAGATATAGTACTTTTCTCGAATCCACACTTGTCAAACAAGGATTTTGCTGCAGCAAGGGAATCACATTTGGTGAACATATCAATAAGAGCATGTGTCACGTGACATTCTGAATCGAACCCATTCTTTATAATTTGCCCATAAACACAAGAACCTCGAGCATAGTCACTACAGAGTGCACAAGTTTGAAGCATACCAACCATAGTCCCTGAGTCTGGGCATACGCCATGTAACTTCATGTTCTTGTACACATCAAATGTTTTACTGGCATCACCAATCTGAGTATACCCTTGTGCTAGAGCGTTGAATGCTACGGCATCTTTAATTGGCAGTCTTTCAAAAGCTTTGAGCGCGGGAGAAAAGAGACCACATTTAGCATACATTGAAATAACAGCTGTGGCAGTTTCCAACTCAGACTCAATATCAGCCTTTATAGCATAACAATGTATGCTCTTACCCAATCTAGAGGCGGCTACTCCTGCACACCCTTGTAGCACACTTGTCAAAGTTACAGCATTAGGCTTGACATGTGTTCTCATCATATCTCTAAACAAAGAGAGAGCCTCATCGTGTTGCCCTGCTTGCTCAAACGACGCAATCATGGCAGACCAAGAAACAACATCTCTATCTCTAATATTTTTGAACAGTTGTTCTGCTATCTCCAGCTCACCACATTTGGAATACATATTCATAAGAGAAGTTGCAACCGAGATATCACTCATCACTCGTTGTTGCACTGCGTATTCATGAATTGCAATCCCCTTCACTAAATCCCCTACATATGCAGCAGCTTGAAGAGCACTTGCTGCAGCTACCTTATTCATTCTAACATCATAGTTTCTCATAAGGTCAAACAACTCCAACACCTCCTCAAAGAACCAATTATGTGCATAAGCTGCCATCATTGTGCCCCACGAAGACTCATCCTTGCTCCAAACTTCTTCAAAAACGCATTCAGCAGCATATAAATCCGCGCATTTGCAATACATGTCAATCAGCCCACTAGAGAAAGCAGACTTAAAACCTTTCTTAATCACAAGTCCGTGAAGACATCTGCACACATCATTCTTCTCTAGCTTCGAAACCGCAGGGATCATATTGTATAGACTAACATGATCAATGTCAACAAAACTCGAATGCATATCACGAAACAACCGCAAAGCTTCACTAGAACATCCATTTTGAGCCAACCCGGAAACCATAGTGTTCCAAGTAACAATATCCTTCACAGGCATTTTATCGAACACTTGTCTTGCAGAAACCAAGTCACCAGCTTTACAATACATTTCAACTAAAGCAGTTCCTATATAAATATCAGACTCAAAACCCATCTCAGAAATCAAATCATGAATTCGTAAACCCTCCTCAAAGTCCATAGATCCGGCACAAGCCTTCAAAGCAAAAGTGAAAGTGTACTTGTCTGGATCAATACCTTTCTCCTCTGACATGTACCCGAAGAATTCGAGAGCTTCTTTGTGTAAACCGGCTCTCGTGTATCCTCTGATCATGGAATTCCATAAGACAACACCTGGGTCTCGAACTGAATTAAAGATTGTGCGAGAAAGGTCCGGTCTTTGAAAGAGAGAATAAGCGTTTATGAGCTGGTTATGAGGTTTACGACCTGAGACGATCAAGCTGCCGTGAATTTGTAGAAGTAACCGGAAGTTCTTACATTCCCGGAGCATATGGAGGAGGGAAGTGCAAGTATTTGGCATTTCACCGGCGACGAGGATGCAAGTGCAGGTTTTTTTGGCGGTTTATAGGTAAAATCGTTACATTTTGAAAGCTTTAAAATTTTCTGATTATATAAAATTTATAAATTTGAGCCACAATGATATTCAGAAAACGAATTATCTAATGATTGTTTTAGCCTGAGATGGAAGTTTAAGAATTTCTTAGCTTTGAATATTGCAATGGACGGTGCAGATTAATAGAAGAGAACAGTGTTTTACTTGGTACCGATTTTATATGAAGAACGAAACTTGATCCGCAACGGATTATTGTCCGCCCTAAAATTAATGCGATTTAGTTCATAAGCGGATCAATCAGTCCCATCCGCTGCAGCTGTTTAAAGTTTAAACCCTAAGAGATTTGGACTTCAAAGATGTAAAACTCGAGTAGAGAGAGCATACTCATAGGAATGTTTGAGAGAGTCATTACTAAAACCAAAAAAATCTAGAGCTGTAGTAGTTTTCATTTCATCATTTCTAATCCGGTAAGATGTTTATTACATCTATTGAAAGAAAGACCAATATGTTTTCTATCGCCTTAGCTCTCCTTTTGCTTGATCAGAGATTCAGAGACATCAAACTATATCCTCTTTGCAGCAAACCCGCGTGAACTGGGTTTTTCGCCAAGAGGAGACGCTCTATGTATGTTGTGTTGTCTATGTGTCTCATACTTGATGGATCTTCCACATGCCAGTTCTGTATCCCACAGACATTAAAGCAAGCTCCCAAAGCATGTTTGGAATGCTCAACATACTGACTTTAGACCCGGGGATTTCAGACCATTTCACAGAGATCTCAACCATTGGAATATTAAAACGCTTGCACAAGTACACCAATTCAACATCAAAGCACCACCTGCGCATAGACCGAGTCAAGTGAGACTCTTATTGATGTTTTTACTGCTAGTTTAGCAGACTCTTATTGATGTTTCTACTGCTAGTTTATCATCATCGATTCATTTACACATACCTTTTCAGATGGACGTTTGTGAAAAGTCTCCTAGCAGCAGCTCTAGTAAACATCTTGAAGCCACACTGATAAAAAAACCGATGTATAGTTATTATTATTCAAGATTATGTCTTGGTGAAACAGAGAGAGCAGAAGGAAACAACAAATGAGATTAAAAAAAAGCCACCTGTGTATCCCGAATACCAGGACCAGCAGCTAACAGAACCACAAGATGGAAACCCTTCATCAGAAAGTTGCGATACCATTTCCTCTGAAATTGAAAGAATAAAGTCAATTATCTAAGACAACAAAGAGTGATGTTGTCTAGAATAGACACTTGCAAAACTTAACTGTAGCAAGAGCTTTCTCCTCAAGATGAGCACGAGAACCAAATGCGGATACTTGAACATCACCTATTCTGAAATCCATATCCTTAGATGCTGGATTTCTGATTGAATATTCTTCTCTGGCTACTGCATTGATCTGAGAGGCTAGGAGATCAGGATATTTATAGCACAATTTCTAGTTTGTCTGAAATTTTAAAAGCCAAAACTAAGGGCAGACCTGATTTTCAAGTTTTTCTAGGTCGGTTACTTTAGTTGCTCCATCAGCATCCAACATGAGAAGTAGCTGACCCCGCGAATGCAACATTCCCTATTTAATGCTTTCAAAAAGTAGAAAGCTTCGATTAATTTTATTTTAGAATGAAATGACAAGTATACAGTCTTACTCAGTCACACAGAATACATATATATAGTTGCATGCGCTACGAGTTGAACTCACTTTTCTTATAGCTTCTCCTTTGCCTTGATTCTTCCCAAGGGGTATAACCCTTATGTTGTCAACTGTGTGCTTTCTAACAAAATCAAAAGCTACACTTTTTGTTCCATCAACACTTCCATCATCAACAATCACCACCTAGAAGGAGAAAAAGTAAACTCACTCCACTGATGCATATAGTGTTTAAGTAACAAAATAAAGATTTATTGAGCAATTTAGCATGAGTGGGTAGTCTATATTGATAGACTAATAAGTTGTGAGCATTACTCTCATTTTTTTTAATAGAGTTAGGCTGGTGAATTAAATATATAGGGACAAAAAACGATTAAAAGCTTATACATATTCACCATAACAAAGGACATATCTATGTTAAGAATCAACCTAAATCAGTTGTAAGGAGAAAAAACAGAAGAATGGAAAACTATTTAGTATTTACCTCAAAAGAAAAACTCTTGTCCCGTGATGCACGATCTTGAAGGTAACTGCAAACCACAGGCGAATTACAATTATGCCTCTGTAGTATGCATAAATAAGACTGGTGCTGCTGTTTCGCAAGAGAAGCAAGATTGGAAGCAGATACACAATAAGGGAGATAAGAAGAAGTGGAAGTTGTTTAACTTACTCCATTGTTTCCTCAAGAGCTGCAGGAAGTCTCAGTTCTTCATTATACGCTGGAACTATTAATGACAAATACTTCTCGGCAGGGTCGGTGATATGAGGGCAAGGAATCTGGTAATAAAGTTTGAGAAGCAGGGTCAGGAAAAGCAAAATCAGATTCCTTAACCAACCTCAGCAAAAATGTCACCAGCAAATGCGATCAAGCAAGTCAGACTCGTCATGATTGACAAGACAAAGCGCTGATCCATGTGTGGATTCAACATTATAATGGAACCGTTAATCTTTCTCGATAATCCACTAACTTAAGAGTGTCCAAAGTCTGTATCTAGAAGAGACTATCCATAAACCACTTATCAAGTTTCACACCACCAGCTAATCTAGTACTATACCATTCAACTTCTCAAGCTTCTTTGCTAAACCAAAATGTAACATTTGATACAAAAAAAGCTAAACCAAAGGAAACAGTTCCCCTTAAAGACTACGTGAAGCTTCAACATTCGTTTTAAACTTTGTAGCGAAACACGAATCAAGATTTCAAATCGCCAACGCAAAACCTTTTAACGAAAAAATCTCAGTTCCATTAACTATAGTTAACTGATTTTCAAATGCTATCGTTCTTCGCCACACTAAACCAGAAAATCACAGTAAACGACTACTATAAATCAATCAGAAACGAATATGAATCAGACGATACCGGTTCTATAGATTTCGGATCCTCCAGTGTAGTCACCGTCTCGACAGAGCTGAGAAAATCCAAAACAAATTAATCAAATCTTATTCCCAGAATCAGAGGACAAGATAGAGAAAATCGGAAAAAAAAATCGAAGAAATGGAGTAAAACGTACACGTTACTGTTTCTCCTTCTCCAAGCTTCAAAAACGACGACGGAGAGAAATCCGAAGAAGACGATCAGCAGCAGCAAGAGGCCGTATTCCGCAACTGTTACCAAAAACTCCATTGTTGATCCTCAGATTTGAGATCTGTTTTGGTTTCAAAAGAAAGAGAGAGAGTGAAGAAGAGATATCGAAATCAATCCGTGAAGAATAAGCAAGAAAAGTTTAATGATTGATCCGTGAAGATGGTTCGATCCCTAATTTCAGAATAAAGTGCAGCAGAATGCAGAGCTCAATTTGAGATAGCCATTTCGGTTTGACTTTTTGGTTCGGTTCGTTCGGTTCAGCGTCCGTGTTACGGTTTGACTTTGTTGAATTACCTCAAATTATTCTTATAGTAGCAAAAAACTAAAAGTTTTATTGATTAAAAATTTTCACTATACAGAATAAAAAAATGTCGAAAAAAATATATACTAAAGATTAAAGAATAAAACTGAATAATATGATTTGGAAATGGCAAGTTATATGATTACTAGAAAATAATTTTCACCATATATATGTATATAATTTTTTTATTTTCATGTACATGTCTACATAAATATTTGAAATACAATGAATAATAAGATACATACAACTAAGTACGTAAAAACAAAGAAAAATGATTGTTCTTATAATGAAATAAAAGGATCTTGTTTTATTGATATTTTTTCAGTAGTTACTTTTAGAAAAATTCATAGTGGTTACTGATGCTGGTGCCTCCACCGCCTCGTACGACGCATGTGCTAGTGCTTGGGTTGGTATTAGTGACAATGCCACTACCCTTGAAATCACAAGCCTCTCTGGAGTATCCTTTGCTTTGGTAATAAGTGTTCATAATGAACGTAGATCGAGTCTTAATGTTGTTGTTATCAAAACATAGGCCACCAGGTGAGATTGGTTTACAATCTATACCTTGGCTGCACACCCAATCAATATTCGCTTGTAGTTGTGTCTCTGTCGCTTCTTGTTTTGCCATACACCAATTTCCACTTTTGCTTTCTGTGCCGCCACCCCCTTCCGCTATTGGTATAGGGCATGTGCTAGTGCTTGGGTTGGTAGTAGTGACCATGCCACTACCGCGGAAGTCACAAGCGTCTTTGGAATATCCTTTACTCTGGTAATAAGCGTTCATTATGAACGTGGATCGACTCTTCATGTTGTTGTTGTCAAAACATATTCCACCAGGTGAGATTGGTTTACAATCTATACCTTGGCTACATACCCAATCTATATTCGCTTGTAGTTGTGTCTCTGTCGCTTCTTGTTTTGCCATACACCAGCTTTCTGCTCCGCCACCGCCTTCCCCTATTGGTATACGGCATGTGCTAGTGCTTGGGTTGGTAGAGGTGACCATGCCACTACCGCTAAAATTACAAGCATCATCAGAACATCCCTTGCTTTGATAATAAGCGTTCATAATGAACGCGGAGCGAGTCGTCATGTTGTTGTTGTCAAAACATATTCCACCAAGTGAGATTGGTGTACAATCAATACCATGGTTGCATACCCAATCAATATTTGCTTGTAGTTGCATGTATGTCGCTTCTTGTTTTGCCACACACCATTTTCCATTGTTTATCGGTGGATTGTTTATCGGTGGAAGTGGGCTTATACCGCCTTTTAGGACCCCAACATCATACATCGCAGAAAAGTCCGGTTTAAATAGCCCCCAATTTCTCTCACGGGTTGGACCGGGTTTCCCATCTTCATTGAACAATGCAAATATGAAGATATCAATGTGGCGGTTGGGCATAAGAGGTGTCCCTATAACCTGTGCACGCATGATGATATTGAGGTTGTAGTTTGCAGCGTTTTGAGGTGAGCACCATGGAGCGTCACAAGCGGTAGGCCAACCGGTCTCCCCTACCGCGATATCTACCTCGCCATAGCCAAGAGCATTCATAGCAGAGTAAGTTGCATCCATGACTGCGTCAAACATGTTGTTGTAGGTGTGTTGTGTATTGGTATCCGTTACTGATTTTGATGGACCAAATATTGCGTAATTGACATTGTTCGGGTCCATCGTGAAAAAAGTGTAGGCGTTGATCATGAATGGGGACTTAGCTTGACGATGAAACTCCAAGATCTTTGTAAAAAAATCTTTTTGATCGTCAGTAAATCGGCTCTCGCTTGGTGTATTATGGTTAAAGCTTATGGTAAATGCATGTGGAGTTGTCACCTGAAACCAAATAATGGTGGACTTACATCTTGTTGATAGTAATAAAAATAACAATGACATTCAAAAAAGATTTATAAAATATGATTCATATATACAAAAAAAAAAAAACATGACATTCATTTAAATAACTTGTATTAGTGTTGTCGTTGTTATAATCACAGGAATTAAAAAATCTCTTAATGCAGGTTGTTTTTGTTGTTTTTATCATTATGAGTTTATGACTTGAAACTAACCTTAATATAAGTGAGATTGGAAGCTTTTAAAGCTTCGTTAAGACTTTGCATCGCGGGCACAAGATTTGATATCAAGTTGTTGTCGTTACCAGAAAGAATCTCGTTTCCGACACAAAGGTATTTGAATTTGATCTGCTGATGAAACGGTAAGACATTGGCAGCGACCCATTGACGAGCATTTGCAACGTTGACCATCGCAGGAATGTTACCGTTAGGGACCATAATGGTGACGTTGATTTCAGAGCCAGCGAAGGATCGGAGGATGTCGGGATTCGCATCATAGATCTTGACACTGTCAAAAGTGGTCTTTGTCTTGATGAAGTCAACCACTTGTTGCGGAGGTTGAAGGTTCCCTAGTGTTCCATAGTTGATACCAATGGCCGAAGTCACGGCTGAGAGTTGAAAGATCACACCGGCGACTTTGAGGAGGAAAGGGAGAGTGAAAAACCGCGTCGTTTTGGCCATTGCTTTGTATTGTATAGTAAGACTAGCTAGGCTAAGAATATATATGTGTGTATTTATAATACTAATGTTGATTCTACATGTCTCTACAATTTTGAACAAATATTTTTCTATAAAATCTAGTAAAATTAATTATTTTATCAGTAGACGTTGGATGTAGATGATAAGTATGAACGTGGCGCTTTATATGGTACAATATCCAATTATTAAATTTGATGTAATATACTAATACAGAAGAACCAGCCGGCAACAAATGGTACAAAATTTTATTAAGTTTACATTACTAAAAGAGGAAGATCATATACCTAATAAGAGTAAAATGTAATATAATGGGAAGATTATATACTCAATTAAGATTAAAATGGAATATAATGGGAAATACATTTATTATTAATTCATGGATTTATTGAAAGAAAAAAAAAGAAAGATATACATCTTTATATGTTTTTAATTTATGGATGAATACAAAAAATCGTGGGTGATTAAATATGACTACAGAATTTAGAAGGTAGTTTTAACTTGTCTATGTGACTTAACCAGATACGCACCATTAGTCCGATAATTAGTCCATCGACTCGAATCATTCCCTCATCAATCAACTAATTGCATTAGTAATCTGAAATGACAAGTCATAACATACGTATACAAAATTGATATGAATAATTATAAGAAACATTGATCATAAGTTCATAACAGTGATTTGTTTATCATAATTTCCTGGTAAATTTAACACACAATAACAGGGCAAAAAAGTCCCAAACAGAAACATGCTTATTGTAACCATCTCTCCCAATGGCGAATCATACAACTGACGTATTACTTTCGTATATTATCTTCTTCGTATAAAGCCTAACCTTGGCTATTATTGTAACCCCAAATGAATCCATACAAAAAAAGACTCAGCCGCAAAAATATTACACTCGAAAACCACTCAACAGAGCAAAATTCTTTGGCCTCTTGATGCCCCAAAAAACATCTGTACAATCTCTTTAAGGAGCAAGAGCCCCTTGAATTCTCATTATCTCGGGTTTGTTCCTGCGGCTAAAACCGCTCTTCTTCTTCATGAATCTCTCTGACTCTTGTTCTACCTGGAGAGCAAACTGAAGCCTCTTTAAATTCTCAGCACACTGTCCATGTAATCCCGGTGAGAACATTCCAGGACCTTGTTGATCGATCGGACCGAGGTGCCTTTTGTGAGGTGAATGCCATTTGGATCGCAGGTAGTTCAGAGATCTCCAAGGAGGTAACGGCATTGAATTCTGCTTTAAGGAGAATTTGGCTGCATCAACCATTACTTGAAGGAACTGGTTTAATCTTGCCACGGTTCCTACATAAACCACAGGGAGTGATTCCATTATCCGTTGGTAAGAATCCACAGCTCGAGCGATTTCAAAATGACTTCTGAAATCAATGTCAACAATCAAACGATCATCTTGGCCAACTTCAGAATCACTCAATATGATATCTATATACTCATTATCTCCTGCAAAACATATCAATCTCTCAGACTTCTATATGCAAAAAACACATGTATAAGGCCGAATTCAAAAGCGAAAACATACCACCAGGAACTTTGCCACCGCCTTGCCATCTTGCTGAACAAACAGCTGCATCATATCCAGAAAGTCTCAAAAGCTTTGCAAGATAAAACCTAATGCAACTGGCGTTACATGTACCAGATTTCACAGAGTGAAGATCTTTCTCCTTAATAGTAAGCATCAATGTACGAACCGCCGAGAGAACCTCAGTCTCGTGTTGAGCCATAGAGTACTTGAGATACTACAGATACAAACACATAATCTCTAATTCAATACACAAACCACAAATAGCAACTCTAAAGAAATGCTACCATTCTATCTCTCAAATTATCCCAAAATTATACAATCACCATTGAATTGAAGCCAATAAGATAATCGAAATGGTGCGATGTTGGTACCTGAATCTTATCGGAAAGGTAAGAAGGATCTGGGAATCCAGAATCGCTATCGCTGCTACACCAGGAACCAGCACCACCGCTTCCACCTCCCGTTTCCAGAAAATCTGTAACCATTAGCCCTAGGTCACGTTCACCGTCATGACTCGAATCTCTTCCTCGATTCCACCATTCCTCCGCCGGAACAACCCTCAAGTCCATCCCCATCGTTCCCAAATCTCGGTCAATTATTTCAAATTTCAACACCAAATCGAACCCAGAACTTATGAATAAATTGAATTGAGTCCGTAACAAAAAAAAAACGCGTATCGTCCTCTTTCACGAGTCTTGTGTGATTGATTGATTTTTATTATATACCGATGAGAGAGAGAGAGAGAGAGAGAGCTTGAAGGTTCTTTTAGCGAATGAGAAAAATCCAGGAAGATAGGCGAAAAGGAAGATGAAGCGAAGATGAGGTTAATATAATACTCATGTTAAATGACAAAAATACCCTTATATGATTTATGATAATTACCATTTGAGTTCGTTTCTTAAAGCTGTAACGAACCGAAAATTTAAAAACAGAATAATGAACCAAGACAGAGTATATGCTAATATTCATTTTACCAAAAGAAACTGACAAATAGTTTTAACTTTATCTAACAAAAGGGTAAAACGGGTAATTTGTTTGGGATGAGGTGGAGCGTAGCGGACAATCAAGAAATTAAAAGTTTGGCTTGGGGACGAAGTTAAAGGCGGCTTTTAACGTTTTAAATTAGCTGATTCGGACCAATTTCTTATATTTAATGTCAAAAATAAATGACTTTTATACATTTATAGATTAAAAGTTACATATTGATTCGAAAATCAAAACATAAAGTTTTCAAGTGGTCATAAACTGTTGATTGATTCAAGTTCAATGGATAACTACAGAAATTACAGATTTATTACTCGTCTTTGAAAACATTTTCTAATCGCATAAAATGAATTTTTTGTGTCAATGATAATTATTTTGTACCAAGTCCATTGTTTATTTATCTTGGTCTCTACATTCATATTGATTTGGATTTCTCTTTTTACAATTTACACTAATATTTTTTGGATCTGTGTTATCACTTGCTTTGATTTTCTTTACACATTTGTATTGCTTTACAAATTTTAAAAAAATTTAGATGAAAAAAAAAAAAAAAAACTCTTTTCAAAAAGATGAGCAATGTGGAAAACAAAGTGTAATAGGCTTCACTTTCATTGTTAGTGGGCTTTTAGGCCTGTAGGCAATTACATAATCACTATCCAAACCGAATTGCCAAATACCTCACACGTCTCACAATCCAACTTTGGGCCACAAGGCAAAATATATATTGTCAACTAATAAAGATTTAAACCTATGTGCTCATAATTTACTTTACTTTTCCATAAAATTTGGAGAAGTTACCTGTAACATCCGATTCAACTAGAGACATTAATATATGCTTTGAATTTTTATAGATACTTGGAAGATCGAATATAAATACAGACACATGATACTACATAGGTACAAATACATGTATGGATCATCAAAATTTATTTGAAATTATCTGTTTCAACTGTTGCAACAAGCGAGTAGTCAATTTTGTAACCATTAAACAAATAATTATGAAATATCGATGTGTTTTTGTAATCTGAAACGACATCTGAACACAAAAAGCTGATCTCATGTAAGAGAAAGCAAAAGGCTGAATAATTTCTCAAAATAGTGTAGGTGACTTTTATAGCCACATTATAACCGGAACAAAAGGTGAATTTTAATTTTTAGCTGTGTGGAAGACACGGCAAGTCCAAGTAGTACCTCCGTACGTCAATATTGTCCAACCGGCCGTGTCGAAAATATTCAGAGGAAAATCTTCTTAAGAAAATTTGGATTTTCTTCTACAAAAAGTCCATGTTATACCAAACAAAGACAGCGACTTGTTAAACAATACGCGACTCATAATCACAAACCTACCACCCAAGTCAAACCTATATTCCATTTAATGAATTCGTGATTATGACTTTTTTAATCATTTGAATTCATATGTATTATTACGTGATTAGAGGGCTTACGTCAATCTTTTTGTTTATGTAAAAAACTTTATATATCTAGAATAACGAGTTCCGTACGACAAGAAAAAAATAAACGTACATGACATCTCGATTTTCATTGGTGTCTACTGTCTAGTGATTTGATTTTCGAATTTCTACTGGTTTAATTAGTAAAAACCCATGGTACAATTGTACAAACATTAATATAGACCTACCCACATAATACATAATTTTCTACTTACACACATACACAAACCAATTAACGTCGAGAGACCAAATCAAATATTTTGTTACGATCGACAAACAAAAAAAAACGTCATGTTTTGCTGTTGGTTTGTCGTCCCGTTAATGGTAAGGGTAATCTTTCAGACACAGACAGTAACAAAACAGCACCCAAACAAGTAATTTGACTAAAATTTCTGAAAAAAAAACTTTAAAAGGATATTGCCAAAAGATCTTAAAAAATGGGTCATATCATTTTGATCAAATAGAATCCAACGACCTTTATCTTTTCGCCGAACTAAACTTTTTTATTTGTGTCCAATTGTTTGACTTTCTTTCACACTACATCGACAAAAGAAAAAAAAGACCATTCTTCTTCTTCTTCTTCTGGTCACCCCTCGTGCCTTTCATTAACACCAAACCCAAAACACTTCCTTCTCTTTCTTCTTTCCTCTCTGATCTCTGTTCACATCTCTCATCTTTATCTCCTTTTTATTGCCTTGTGGGTCGAAAGTTTCTATATTTTCTCTTTCAGTTCTATTTACATAATCCATATTCAGCTCAAGCAGCTGAAGAAGAACGATCAAGAACCGAAAAAGAAGAAAACGAATCTGTTCTTAGCTTTGATGGGTTCTTGCTTCAGTTCTCGAGTCAAAGCAGACATCTTCCACAATGGTACCATCTCTCTGCAACTATCAATTTTCTTGCAATCTCCTTCTTCTTTATGTGTCTTCCCAAGATAATCTTGAATTATGCATCTCTCTGTTTTAATTCATGGGTTTGGCAAAAAAAAGGAAGGAAATTTCCGATTTTGATTATGCTCCAATTTTGAAAATGGTCAACATATGTCTGTGTAGGTAAGAGCAGCGATCTTTACGGTCTAAGTCTCTCGAGTCGGAAATCGTCGTCAACTGTAGCGGCGGCTCAGAAGACGGAAGGGGAGATATTGAGTTCGACCCCCGTCAAAAGCTTCACCTTTAATGAACTCAAACTTGCCACAAGAAACTTCAGACCAGATAGTGTGATTGGAGAAGGTGGCTTTGGCTGTGTATTTAAAGGCTGGTTAGATGAGACCACTCTCACTCCGACTAAACCCGGAACCGGTCTGGTCATTGCTGTTAAAAAGCTTAACCAAGAAGGTTTTCAAGGTCACCGTGAATGGCTGGTACAGTGTTTTCCTTTCTTCAAACTTTTAAGTTATGTGTTGTGTGTGAATGTGTGAATGTGTGTCTGATCTGTTAGTGTTATGTTGTGTTGTAATTCAGACAGAGATCAATTACTTGGGGCAATTGAGTCACCCAAATCTAGTCAAACTAATCGGGTATTGCTTAGAGGATGAACACCGTCTTCTTGTCTACGAGTTTATGCAAAAAGGAAGTCTTGAGAATCATCTCTTCAGAAGTGAGTCCCATGGATCATCTTATCTTTTATCAAAATCTATGTTCTTTTGTTTTTGGTTCTGATGGAAATGGTTTTGATGCAGGAGGTGCATATTTTAAGCCACTCCCATGGTTTTTACGGATCCAGGTTGCACTTGATGCAGCAAAGGGTCTTGCTTTTCTTCACAGCGATCCCGTCAAAGTGATATACCGAGACATTAAAGCCTCGAACATCTTACTTGATGCGGTATGTAGAGAAATATACACATTGAAAGAATTAGATGTCTTCAAAGTACTTTACTGATGACTTTGTTTCCCTTAAACAGGACTACAACGCAAAACTTTCTGACTTTGGACTAGCTAGGGACGGTCCAATGGGTGATTTGAGCTATGTTAGTACAAGGGTCATGGGTACATATGGCTACGCAGCACCTGAGTACATGTCATCAGGTAAAAATCTATCACCTCAAATATGAATTATGACTAGTTTGATCAAATATTTTACAGCATAAGGATAATTGTTTAAATCCTTGTATCATTTCAGGTCACTTGAATGCAAGAAGCGATGTGTACAGTTTCGGAGTATTGCTTTTAGAGATTTTATCAGGTAAGCGAGCGTTGGATCATAACAGGCCGGCTAAAGAAGAAAACCTGGTGGATTGGGCTCGACCGTACCTCACAAGCAAACGCAAGGTTCTCCTAATCGTGGACAATCGGCTAGACACACAGTACCTACCTGAAGAAGCCGTGAGAGTGGCCAGCATTGCGGTGCAGTGTCTCTCATTCGAACCAAAGTCGCGCCCGACCATGGACCAAGTGGTCCGTGCCTTGCAACAACTTCAGGACAACTTGGGAAAACCGAGTCAGACCAATCCGGTTAAGGAGACCAAGAAACTTGGTTTTAAAACTGGTACTAAGTCATCGGAAAAGCGGTTAACACAAAAACCTTTTGGCAGGCACCTTGTGTAGGCCTTTTTAGATTCGGAAAATAGGCCAAGCTGGTAATTGAGTTCCAGGATGGACATTTTTCTGGCGAGTACTTGAAACTGCGGATATCCGTTTTCGACGGATTGAACACGGTTCTGGACAAACCATGCAGGTCGAGAAATGGATACATTAAGTTTTCCGGTTCCATGTCCCATACCCCAACCTTAGAGAACATGTTTAGCCTTTAGGTTAGGCTTCCTTGTGTGCTGTTATATCGAGTGAAGTATATAACTGAGGTAATTTTTGCCTCTTGTGTTGTAACACTCTTGTATTTTTGTTCCTTTAACATTTGATGTAGAGATTTTCCTATATCTTCAGTTTTGAAATCCAAATTTGTTACAAGTCAAAATACTAATCAATGTGCAATGACCAACGCAAATCCAAATTGTGTTTTTTGGGCTTCTGTAATTTACACAACAGATCACGTATACAAAATTTCTAGCAGCTTAATCTTAAAAAATTGACAATTTGAAATGTCATTTAAACTCCAACCTATAGTATTGAAACTACAATAGCATTAAACGACAAAGGGAAAGCAAAACGCAATCGTTTCACGATTTTGGTCTAGTTTGGTCCAAATAGCATTAAACCACAAAGGGAAACCAAAACGCAACCGTTACAGGATTTTGGTCTAGTTTGGTCCAAATATTACAATTACGGTTGAGTGAAATGCGTGTCGGTTCTTGCTTCTGCACTCGAACTGCGTGACGTGTTTTTCACTTATCCACTTAGTGAGCAAAACTACTCGACTTGTAGTTGCAGAGAGGTTTTAGCCGCAGAAGAAAAGGGTTTACTCTGTCTTCTCAGTGATCGAAGCTATGATGACGACAACAACCAATACTATGGCTATGCTTCAACACCTCGTCTTCTCTGTTCCCATCTCTCGTATGGTAGTTCGGCGTCACTCCCTCGCCATCGCCGCTGCCGCCACAACCGTCGTATCGTCTCCTAAACCAGCCTCTGCCAAACCGGCGCGTACTCCACACGTGGACTCACATGTTCTCATCGGAATGTCAGAGCCTGAGCTTCAACAGCTCGCTATCAACCTGGGTCAAGTAAAGATCTGATTTTTGCAAATTAAGAGTTGAAAATAAGGAATTTGGTTGATTTAGCTGATAAAGTTCTGATTTTTGCAGGAAGGGTACAGAGGAAAGCAGCTCCATCATCTTATTTACAAGAGAAAGGTTAATAAAGTTGAAGACTTTAGCAATTGTGAGCAAATTCTTACCAAGTTCTATGTTTTTTGAATATTTCGTCTTCCTTGACAGTTATGCAAATGATTAACCAATTTTCATGATGCTAAAAGTGCCACAGACGTTTCGTAAAGGACTTGTGGAAGGTGGATTTAAGGTGGGAAGATCACCCATTTACCAAACTGTTACTGCCACTGATGGTACCATTAAGGTGACTTTGGCAATGCTTGGGATTTTTCTTGCTTAAGTTTTGTTTGATTAGTGTTTACGGTTTTCCAATGTTTTGTCTTTTGTTGTTTTTATCTTATAGCTTCTGTTAAAGCTTGAAGATAACCTGTTGATTGAAACTGTTGGTATACCTGTTCAAGATGATGAGAAGGGCATAACGCGCCTCACTGCTTGTGTCTCTTCCCAGGTGAATTTGACTTTCTTATTGTTAGAGATTTGTTTTTTTGCTTTGCATGATTGTGTTTTATTATTTTATAGCTGATGTTTTGAAGTTCTGCTTTAGGTTGGATGTCCGTTGCGTTGCTCGTTTTGTGCCACAGGAAAAGGAGGGTTTTCAAGAAATCTTCAGCGACATGAAATTATAGAGCAGGTTTACATCTATGTTACCTCTTGTTTTCTGCATCTTATGGATTAGGTAAATTGAAATCTGTTAGAAGGAAGATTCTTATGGAATGATAATAAAAAGAGAGCATGATACAAATTTATGAATTGGTGTTTTGGTCCAAGATAAAACACTTAGGATAAGATCTTATGTAGATTGAAGAATACTGCAATCATTTGCAGAAGATTATCACTGTACTAGATTTTGTTTTTACATTATAGAGACGCATAAGTATTTAGAAACAATTTAGATCCGGATTTCATAGTTAAATGTATATATGGCTTGTGTTTACAAGTGTAATTTTAAATGTCTAGGTACTGGCTATTGAGGACGTGTTCAAGCATAGAGTGACAAATGTTGTTTTCATGGGAATGGGTGAGCCGATGTTGAACCTAAAGTCAGTACTTGATGCTCATCGTTGTTTGAACAAGGTAACATCTGCCATTAGTCAATTGCCATTTTGCATGATTCTTGTAGAAATGAATGAAGTTCTTGTTAAGTATCTATGCACGGTAAAGTAATTGGCAAGCCGAGACAAAGACTTGACTATTAAAAAATCGTGTTTGAAGCATTATTACTTAATAGGATGTTCAAATATATGATTTTATTTTCTGCACAAATATTAGTTGCATAATGTTAGAACAATAAGACTTAGCACTCACTCATGGTATGCTTTTACTATACTTAGGACATTGAAATTGGGCAACGAATGATTACAATATCGACAGTAGGTGTTCCGAACACAATCAAGAAGCTTGCCTCTCATAAGCTGCAGTCGACCTTAGCTGTCAGGTGCGTCCTCACTCCTCACTTTCTGGTTTTATTCATATGTTGCTCAATAAGTAAAATGATCTTTTATAAAAATTTACTATACCCCAAGCATATCATGCAATCTTATTTTCTAAGCATGTAACATATGCTCTGGATCGGTCTTTTCTCATTGATTTTCATGTTTTTATAGTATTTACTCATTCTTGAGCTGTTCTTTTGGTGAATCAGCTTACATGCGCCAAATCAGAGTCTCAGGGAGAAAATTGTACCAAGTGCCAAGGCTTATCCACTGGAAGCAATTATGAAGGATTGTCGTGATTACTTCCAAGAAACAAATAGACGAGTCTCCTTCGAATATGCCCTTCTAGGTGTGTGAAACTTGAGATAAACAAATTTTCTGTTCGTCTCCCTCATTTTATCATCTACTTTAACAGAAGTTCATAAATGATGATGTAGCTGGAGTCAATGATCAAGTTGAGCATGCGGTGGAACTTGCAGAGCTACTCCGTGAATGGGGTAAAACTTATCACGTAAATTTGATACCTTACAACCCGATAGAAGGATCAGAGTACAAGCGACCTTACAAGAAAGCGGTATGTTAATAACCACTAAACACAGGCATTCTGTTGTGGGTTTAGTTTTGGACTATAAACTTCAATAAAAATACAAATTAGTCAGTCCCTAATCACTTTTATTAACCAATTGTGCAGGTCCTAGCGTTTGCAGCTGCGTTGGAGTCGCGTAAGATAACAGCAAGCGTAAGACAAACAAGAGGACTTGATGCGAGTGCTGCTTGTGGTCAGCTGAGGAATAAGTTTCAAAAAAGCCCTTTAGTTGCTGAGACGGATGGTCAAGAGTCTCAGCCAGATGCAGAAGCTGTCGCGTGTTGATTTCCTGGATTGCACAAATCTCCGGTTTTGCCATTGGATCGCTCTGTACAACTTTGTTATAGGAGACATGGCTCAATGACGAAAAGTGAAAATTGCCGTTAGGGTTGGTTGGTCAGTGTGCAACCGAGGATGAAGAGATTGAAGCACGTTTGAGAGTGAGTACTTTGAGGATAGCTTTATAGGTTTGGCCTATACTTGTGTGATGATATACTTTGGTTTATGACTATGACAAGGGAACTAACTTAAACTGTTGTTATTCAGTGAATGATATTAACAGATATCAAATCTATAAATTTCAATAGTTTTCACATAAATTTTGAAATATAGTTCGAAAGGCCTACTGGATTTATCATTTTTCCCTTAAGATGCGTGCTCTATTTTCATCTCTTTGAGTCAAATTTATTTGATGGTCGATACAGTTTTTATACTTTAAATAGACAATGAAGTTTGGTAATCTATGAATGATTCAAAAGAAGCTTACGAATGGGTAGAGGAAAGCTTGCATAATTGATTGCAAAGTGAAAACAGAAGTAATGTATAAACATAAATTTGCTTTCATTATGAAACTGATTTCAACCTTTATACATAAACACATAATATTACAAAGCGAAAACATAAAGAAAATTAAATTACAAAGTGGATGGTGTATGTATAATTGGCTAATCTTCGCAGCAAGTCGGAGAAGCCTTGCAAAACATATCTTCTACTTCTTTTTGCATATCCTCGAATATGTTTTGGTTTTCGAGAACCAATTCTTAAAATTGCTGATACATATTACTTTCAAAACTCGTGAATAAGAAGACTAACGAAAGTAATTGTATCAGCAACTATTCTTTAGATGACTAGAAAATCGCATTTATTAGAGCACATGCAACACAATATGCATAGATTTCTTTTGCATATCCTGGAATATGTCCAATGCCTTTTCTAGTTCATCCATTACCACAAAGACCATTCACGATATTTACCATTTTTTTACGTTTGTAAAAACCCATGATTAGCTATGTTGGACTTAGAATAATTTTCTACCATCCGATCAACCATAGCTATTCAGATAATCTGGTGAATGGTTAAATATCATTCAATGGCCCATTCGCTTGTAGAGAAAAATCACAATAAAACCTTGCTGTATCTTTTTGAAAAGAGATCTCCGTATTCCAACGAAACCAAATACAGAGAGGACAAGACGGGACGAAACAGACACACGGCTGGTGAAAAATGAACCCCAACATCGAACATAAGATCATGAACCTAAATTCTCTCAAACGCTATCTCAATCTAGCTCTAGACAACGCTCTGCTCACTACTCAAAAGAAGTAAGAAATTACCTTTCTATAAGACAAGACCATGACTCGATCTAACGGCGGAACCTGATCTAAGAACCCATCTCAACTTTTGTGTTAAGATGGAGTTAGAGATCGTACTTGCAGAATTTGACGGCGCTCATGTTTACTTTTTTGGTATTTGACGACAGGCTTAGCCGTTTTAGGTTTAGGTTTGTGAGGTTGATAAAGAGTGACCTGGGTATATATAGTCGAAAGGCTTCCCTATTTGACATTTTTTATTAGGTAAAGAGTACAAAGCCTTTTTCAGTCAAAATTTGATGTACATGGTAATATTATTATAGTTGAATATATTTTGTCAAATTATTCAACTCTGTATTTTTATAATTGGAAAAGAAATAAAGAATATATAGCTTTTGACACTTTTAGAATAAAATATTTGAAACTTTGCATGTATATAAAGAATACAATTAAAATACAATACTTTTTAGTAAAGAATATATTTATATTTATATGAAAAAGTATTCAACTTAGAATACAATATTATTTTAGTAAAGAATATATATATATATATATATATACAGAGATATATTTAGTCAAGTATAACAAGAAAAAAAGGAAACAAATTGAATTTTTATAAAGTATACACTTTAAAATACATTATTTTTTAGTGAATATATATACAGTATATATATAGAGAGTAAAGTATAACAAAAAAAAAGGAAACAAGTTGAAGTCATTTTATAAAAATATTCCTTGTTTGAATAACTTTTTCGCCTTCTTCTCAATTGACTTTATATTTTACAAAACATTCAATTCAATTTTTTTCTTAATGGTGGAGAGAATCCAAACATTTACTAAAAAAAAGTTTCTCTCTCTTATCTCTCTAAATTTTTCAGAGAGAGAGACTTCTTTCAGGAAAACCTTTCTCTTTGGGTTTTCTCTTCCGCCGCCATGAGTTTTTGGCCGTGACCGGTGTCAGTTGGCTTTTCTAGCGATGATGCCAGTCCTTTTCTTTAATCGCTGCCGTGTGTTTATGCCGTGACCGGTGTCCGACGGCTTCTCTAGCGCCGTTACCGGTTCTGTGATGAAATTTCCAGCCGTCTGTTATAGTTTTCAGCTCTCTTTTAGTTTTAATCTGCTCCGCAAGTTTGTTGGATTATGTATTTCGATAAGTTTCTTCTCCTCTCCTCGTTGGTGCTTTCTTTGGCCTTTATCGGTTCGATCCACCGCCTCCTTAGGGTTTGGTTTTGGTGTTGCCGTTTGGGCGGCTCTTGTTAGTCTCCTCCACCAGAAATTTCAACCAGATTTGATCGAAATTTGGTTTGTTTTTGCCTCCTCTGTACCGGATCTATGTCGTTTTTGTTCGACAATCAAGAATCCGGCCTCGGCTACTTTCGACGGTTTGTCTTTACCTCTTTAGAGGCTCCGTCTTGCCATTTTAGGAAGCAATTTTCATCATTGTCGAAGTCTATCTATTACCAAGTGAGGACAACAAGATTTGAAGATTAGGATTTTGAAGATTCCAAGAAGATTTCAGTTTTTCAAGTCTTTGAAAAGCATGATGAGGGGAAGTTGTTAGAAATTTTAGAAATTTCATAATCGTAGCATTTAGTTTTCCTTCTGTCGTCTCTGATACCGGATATGTGTAACCGGTTTGAGCTTTTGTTTCTCATGTACTGATGGCTTTGTAAGATACTCTGTTTCTAATAAGATCCTTCAGTGAAAAAAAAAAAGAATCCAAACATTTCACTTTTTACCATATATTGTAGCGTATATCTCATTATATTTAGAATATTTTGTATGATATATGTATGTATATTTATATGTGTCTAGTGTTATATTTAGCTACATAACTGTTTTAAGTGAATTGGTTGATTGTTCTCTGCCAATAACACCAACGCACTCCAAAAAAAAACATGTATCAGGTTAATAATCTAGATATTAAGATTTTAACTGAACGTTCTAACTTGGGAAATAAAGGATTTAGTGTTGAGGAAAAATATGATGCTTTCCTAGTTGGGTGAAACATGTATAGTAAAGTTTGGTCTTTATCTGCTGGATAATGGTTACACTGAAGATCCTAATCACTTTAGTCCTTGTCATTTACTTCATCGCCTCATATGCTTTCTATGACTTTTTCATAGTCATTCTTTCCTCCTTCATGCTAGGATTAAATATTCGTCTTAACTAGATCCATTGTTTTTTTTTTTTTTATAAACGATATTATATTAAAAGCATGAGATTCAAAATGTTTACACAGCCATTAATGGGCCTGAGGCTAACCAGCCCACCACACATCAAAAATAGCCCAACAGTGGCTATATCAGAAATAGCCCAATTTTTACTAGATCCATTGTTTGATTCTTATGTTTGTAGGATCTTTAATCCATGAACTCGGTAGAACTGGTTTTTAAGTTTAACGATTCTGATTGGATTATTACTTTCGATGCAGTTCAAGTGTTTATCTGATTCCATTTCGCATGATTTTCAGTTTCAATTGTAACTAGATTAATAATTATAAGAAAACACAAACTAAAGCCACACGTTAATACATAATACAATCAATATGTATAGCCTAGTGAGAACTGCAAGAATATCACAAGTAGATAGCAACGAAACTCATTATTTGATATGACGGTGAAAGGTATGAATAATGAACAAAAAAGAACTTTTACTATTAATAATGAAACTACAAACAACAGAAGACTCGGCTAAAAGGTACAATGATCAAAGAAAATTACAAGTGAAGAAGTGATGTACATATGAACTCTTAGACATACCATCTTTAAATCTCCATCTTCCTTCAGCGTATTTGCTTCAAGTCTTCCAAAATCACAACGATGATCTTGAAAACAACAATATCAAAATCCATCTCATTTCCATCTTTCCTCAAGCATGTCTCTTGTAATTTCTTCATCACACAACCATGTACCATTACTTTTTTGCATATCCTCGAATATGTTAAGTACAACAAAAGATAATCAGGATCATCTTACTCTTTTGGATAACCTCAAATATGTTCACTACCACAAAGATTATCAAGATCCATCTTACTCTTTTGCATATACTCGAATACCTATATAGGAATAATAACCTATGTTTCTACCATCCGATCAACGAGAGCTACCGCTTTTTTGACGTGGATAAGGCTAAAACATAGATGTATATCCCATTTCTACCATCTGCTCAACTCAAACTACCCTCTATAAGTCTCCCCTTTGAGACAAAATCCATTGAACAACGTGTTTCAAGCAACACGAGTTCAAAAGCTAACCAAGTTTCATCATCTCGAAACTTGACTTTCTCAAGTATATAGATTTCGGATAGTTTGAGTATCACCATTCGCTTGGAGAGAAAAATCACAAACCCATGTCGTTTCGACTTGAAAACAGCAGTATGTATTCCATCGAAACCAAAAACAGAGCAGGGGAGACGAGACAGACACATGCTTGGTGACAAATCCATTGTATCATCCAAGATATTATCATTAAACCAACTGGTCAATCCTAATCTCACTTCCAACCCCAACCTAGAGCTATAGAAGATACTATGCTGGCTACTCAAAGGAAGGATTAGCTATAAAAGTACCTTTCAGTGGGACAAGATGGTGAATCAATCTAACAGCAGAATCTGATGATCTTCGAAACCCATCAGTGTAGCAGCAGATTCGTACCTCAGAATCCAACACAACTTTTGTGTTTCACCAAAGAGGCTAAGGTTACAGCAGATCGTGGTTGCAGAGCTTGGCGGCGCTTATCTTTTATTTATCTTCTCTTTTTTTTTTTGACGTCACGTCTCTAGGTTTAGGTTTCTGAATAATGAGTGAGGTGGATTTATATCGGGTATCAGGACAAGATCCGATGACATTTTCATGTTTTGTCGCGTAACCTGTTTGAGTTGTTTACTAAAGAAGGCTGGGCCAAGATTAATTTCTCAAGTACGGCCCAAATTTGGTTATTTTTCTTAATTAATTAAGACTACTAAAACATATCAATATTTTCATTAAAAATAACTTGAAGAAAAATGTTACTCCCTCCGTATTTTAATAATTGTCGTTTTAGAATTTTTATTTTTTTGAATTGGATGTCGTTTTCAAATTTCTATGCAAAATTTATTACTTTTTAATATTTTATGACATCATAAAACATTAAAAAGTAAGAAATTTTGCATTGAAATTTGAAAACGACATCTAATTTTTAAAAAAATAAAATCCTAAAACGACACTTATTAAAATACGGAGGGAGTATATGGTAGTGTTTTTAGGATAATTTATTCAGTTTTTAGTCAAAACATTTAACTTTTTAAATGATTGCAATGGTAACAACCAAAATCAAGAGGAATTAACATTTGAGGTTTTATGTTTTGCACCAATATATAACTGGTTAAGCTACTATCAGTCGTTAAACACAAATCATTATGACAAACAGATTGTTTCTATAAGGTGATGGGATTCACGTCATGGCCACCTCTAAAAAACTGTGTTTGTAATTATAATGCGACTCTACTCTTTTTGTGGTTTTCTTTATCTGAATCTGATCCGCCGTTATTCCGGCGAGTCTCATGTGACTTACATTATCCCTTAACAACTTCAAGTGACCAAAAACAAAAGTCAATAACTGTTTTAATAATCTTGTAACTACTCAATTCTTCGAACCGACCCTTTTAATGGCTCCCACGTTTCACTCTAATCCTTCTCTTTCTCTACTTAGACCCTGTTTCCTTCTTCTTCTGTTTCTCTGAAACTCATGAAATTTGAGGAACTACTCATGGAAGCTTCACAGCAACAAAGCAACAAGAGACATGACTTAGAGGAAGGAGTAAGCACCTTTGATCCTTACTCAAAATCTTTATACCAACAGTTACTTATATGAATATGAATGTTTTGTGTTTATGTAGGTGATGCATCTTAAAGAGAGACTAGAGGAAGAAGAAGCAGTAAGTAGAACTTTACGAGCTGCTTTTGATGGCTCTATTGTTTCTCTCCCAAGTCTCTCCTCATTGTTTCTTCCACCTCAGGTAAAACTAATACTCATACCTCTAACTATATCTTAATTCTTAATGATCAAACAATTAACAAATTTTATTTCCTAACAGTTTTCCGAGCTTATACAAGAATTAGCCGTCGTGGAGGCAGAGATTCTTTGTCTTGACCGAAAAATCGAGGAGCTAAAGCTTAAACTGTATTATGAACAGAGACAAACGCAAGAGATGCAACTGCAGATGACCGAGCAGAAGAGGACTTTGACAAGGCAGAGCCATGTGAGACAGAGTACTTTGCCACTAAGACATGATCTTCATCAAAGATCTTTATCTCATTGTTACCAACGTTCTACTCTAGACACTGCCTCAACTACTCATTCAAGGCTCTCATTTTCTTATGCTCCTGATTTCTTGGATGCCACTTCTTCAGGTTGCTTCACAGGTAAAGTAGTTGCTTATTCGGAATGTTTTCCAATAAGTATACATGTCCCAAAACCGGGAAAAAAAATACAAATGCTCACATTTCACTGATCAAGGTCATGGTTTTGGTGGACAGATGAATTTGATGGAGTATCGAGGATGCAGATGGGTAGACTAAGAAAAGGGCTTCGACTTGTGGAAGCGAAGACCAAAGACGATCCAAACGAAGTATCTGAACAACTCATCAACTGTCTTATAGGCATTTACTTGGAACTCAATCATGTTTCATCAAAGACCAAAGGGGATGTCTCTCTTTCCAGAAGGCCATCTTCTTGTAGCCGGAAATCAAACACATATAGTTATTATCAAAATGTAATGAATATTGATCCTTATCACGTATTGCAAGACTCAAGCGGAGGAGTCACCAGAGACATTGGCCCTTACAAGAACTTCATCCACATTTCAAGAAGTTCTATCGATGTGACCCGTTTCACCCATTATTGTTCACCGGCTGTTCCACGCTTGAGGTATTGTTCTTTTATATTCTGTGAACCCACCATACTGTCCATACAAAATGATCTCATCAAATATTCTAATTTATTGAGACTCTGTATGTTGGCAGTGTTCTGATGGAGAAACTATCGGAGGTAGATTTAAGTTTTTTGACCTACAAGCAAAAACTCGCCTTCTGGATCAATATCTACAACGCATGTATCATGCATGTACGGCCACATTTACAAAATACGTAATTGAGATTTTTTATAACATAACACTCAAAACTTGGACTTAAAATCGAATTCTATGTTCCGATGATAGGCATTTCTTGAGTATGGGTTACCATCATCACACAATAGACTACTTACCTTGATGAACAAGGTAACTTTTTTGATCAAAATCTCAAGAAAGAACTCTAAATGTTATAAATAGTAGAAACTTTTCAAATCTAATGATGCCCTTTGTAATTTATTGGCAGGCTTCACTCAACGTAGGTGGCATAGTCCTCAACGCTTTGGCGATTGAACATTTCGTCTTGCGGCATCCTTGTGAACCAGAACATGTAAGTGCGTTCCATCTTATTTCATACCTATAAATAGAATCAATTACCACAAGAATCTAATCAACATCTTCATGAAAGAAGGACTCGCTTGATGAGAAAGAAACTCTCCTGCGACATACTTATGGTTTAGGATATTCAGAGCCCAACGTGACATTTGCGCTTTGCCGTGGAAGTTGGTCTTCACCAGCAGTGAGTGGACAAAACATAGTTTATCATGACCAATGTATATCACTCTAACATACATATGGATGATGAAATTGATATGCTTGTGCAGCTAAGAGTCTATACAGCAGATGAAGTGGTGAATGATTTAGGAAGAGCAAGAGTGGAATATCTAGAAGCTTCCGTTGGTGTTTCGAGCAAGAAAAAGATTGTGGTTCCACAGCTTCTGCAATGGCATATGAAAGATTTTGCCGATGATATTGAATCTCTTTTGGAATGGATCTATAGCCAGTTACCTCGATCAGGAAACCTAAAGGGCATGATTATGGAATGTTTAAAGAGAAAAGCAAAAGTTCCTTTAGCTAAAATGGTAGAGATTCAAACATATGGACACGAATTTCGTTACTTGTTGTCATTGTAAACATGAGAGGTCCTTATCTAAAATAGAATAACAATGTTTTGTAACTTCTCTCACGGATGTACACATTCTCGTTTATTTGCAATTTACAACAAATATAATATAGTTTCGTATGAACACTTGGACAAAGAAACGAGACAAAATTAATATTCGACAATCCAAAATGTTTGAATAGGATCAGCGAAATTTACTCCGATGCTTTTTTTCATCAAATAAATCAAACCCTTTTAAAGTGGAGTCATATAAATTATTAAAAATATATAATGGATATGAGTATAAACTTTAGCTAAATTTGTAAGTGGAGAAGACATAGACATGTTCCGTTCATATCACCAAAAAGGAAAAATGAATAAGTAGACGACTTGTGGACTTATGGTTACGTATTGCATCAAATGCTGTCGGGAAATACTTTTATTTACTTTTTAATTTCATCGGTCAAAAATCAATCCCACTTATTAAAGGCTTTTCATAGACCAATAGCCATTGAATTATTCTTGTTTCTCGTTCTACTACTCTACCAAATCTAAGTGGGATCCCCGTGGATCTAACACTAACGTGCATCAACTATTTGGTAATGGCTAGTTAGAAATAAACCAGAAGATTAGTAGTAGTAGTAGTAGTAGTATTAAGTATCAATAACACAACCATGTTTTAGATTACACGAGATTAAACGTTACAAGTTGTAACTTACAACCAAACCATGTAAAATACTTTAATAGCTGCGGGCTGTTACAAAATTTTCTCACAGCCACTTCAGCTACTCTCTCTTTCTCTCCCCATTTTCCCTTGTATCACTCACAATTAAAACACCAAACCCAAAAAAAAAGAACATTAAAAAAAGTGAAAACACACAAAAGTCAAAGATACTTTCCCCTGATTTTTCTCTCCTTCCCATATATAAAATTTAGAAAAAAAGGAGGAGGAATAGCGAAATTAGCGGAGAGTTTTCTTTTGTCTCGAACCACTTTAATTTTTCGATTTCCTCCAAATTTTAGTTTCTCGAAACTCGGCCTTAAACCCTGAAATTCTTCCCGACAAATGTTTGACCAAACTGCCAGTTAGAAGGAACCATGTTCCAGGAAGTAGATGATCTACGGTCACTGCCTGTGACACGGAAAGAAAGTGACTGACCAACCAAAACAGCATTAGATTGCCAGTTTTGTCCCCAGTTCCTGCTCAAACTCATCCAACCAGTCCGTGAACCTTTCACACTAGCCCTCACGATGTCTCCTGCTCCAGCCACGTTAGTGATCAGAACCAAGTTGAAGTAACGGTGACCGTTGATTGTGAACCTTATCCCTCCTCTCTTTCTACAAGGCACTCTACAAACAAAACCAACATTTCACACTCGTTTAGTCACTCACTTAGATATCAAATGTAATGATTAGTTTGTTAGACACAGCAAATAAACTAAAATTTAGTAAAATATCATCAAAATTTGATTTTCAAGGACTTAAACTAAGAATGTTCAACTATTAGTTTAAATTATTAAAAATAACTAAAAAGTATCATTTAATTAAGCTAAAAGGTAAAATAGAGAACAAAATGACCTCCACTAATTGTTTTTAGCCGTTTTATCTAAATTTGTTTTAAAGACAATTATGGTCTTATGATCTTCTAAATATTGCCAAGACCCTAGACATAGATTTTTACCTGCGGTATGAGACGGGGACAATGCCGGCACGATATTGAGCGATCTTGAGGAAGACAGGCATGGCTAGATCGAAATGTTCACGTGGCGGGTTGCACCATCCTCCGTTGTCGCTAGGCTGAGCCAAGTTTGGTGGGCAGAAATTGGTTGCGGTGATGAGGATCGAAGGACTACCTGAGTGGCACCATTGAGGGTCGTTGGCGCATTTTAGCTCAAAGCAGGCTCCACAACTCATACCATTGTTAAACAGCGCCGTGCTCAATGCTGCCGTGTTGGTACCATAGCCTTGGCTGTATAAGTTACCGTAACCACAAGCTCCTCCTGTAATTAGTTAAACCCATTTTGTTAATAATTTTTTTAAAGAAAACTTTACTAAAAAAGTATTTATGCTCTGTTTTTATGGACTGACCCATTGTGCCGGAGGCATCGCTGCCACCGTAGAAAGTGGCGTGTGCGTTTTGCCATGCGCTGCCGGAGTAAACGCCGGGGATTCTAGCGTCGGCGAGGCTAAAAAGGACAAATGTGGTAAAGAGAATTACTAGTTTAATAGCCATTTTGTGTGTGATTTACTAAAAGGAGAGTTCTAAAATTACTATGAGGGTGATGATTCCAAAGGAGAAAATGAAGAAAGAACAAGAGCGCTTTCGAGCTTGCGCTCTTGTATAGAGAAAGAGTTAGGTTTGTTTGGAGATGAGAATGGTGGAGGAAGAAGGAGTGAGGTTCGGTATTTATGGAGGGAAGGAAACTCCAAAGTTAGAGAGTAAGAGAGAGATTGAGAGATAATTGGCTAAGTTCTAATTTCCTTTTGTCAAAATTAAACTTTTAAAATAAGATTACTATATCTACGTAAGGTGGAGGTAGGTTTGTAACCGTTTTGTCATTTTTTTTAATGTAATCTAATTTTTTTCTAGATGATATAATGATACTTACAAATATTTTATCTCATTAATCTAAAATTATGTATGACTTAGAAACTTGATGCTAAAAAAAGTTCGACAAAGAATAACTAGTTGACTTATTTGAGGCGTTTCATACTTAGGCTGAGAGTTGATATTAGTTTATTTTATGCAAATATAAATTATGTTTGTTTTGCTGACCAAATAAAATGCAAACATATATAAGCCTTTATTAATATGTCTTTTGACTCTGCTCGTTTTTCACTTCTTTCCTTGCGCGGGTACTTTAGTTCAAGGTGAATTGTCTTCTGCAAATACCATGAATCTACATTCAGATTCTCTCTTCTTTTTCAAAAGTCATATTTCTGAAGTAAAAAAATTATTAAACAAAAAAACTAGTACATTTCTATCAGAAATATGCGTTCATGAGTAAGTGATGTCATATATAATAAGAAAATGTGCATACAAATTTCAAACAATACCCAAGTGTGTTTAGCTCAAATGTTATTCAGTGCTATCAACTCCAAGTTTAAAATTTAAAATTTGGAGAGGGATCATTTACACTTTATAAATCCGCCAAAAATGAAATCTGGTCTAAGATAGTGAGATATAGGGTTTGATTGGTGAACTAAAAAAGAGTATTACAAATTGTACAGCTTTATTTTTACCAATCACAAAAACTTTATCAAAAGCGTTACAAAAAGTTTTACTCTCAGCTTTTTTGTACAGCTCTTTCATACAGCTTTGCACTATTCCGGTAAAGCTTACAGCTCCAGCTAACAGCTAAAAAATTTGTACAACTTTTGGTTACCAATCGGACCCATAAAAAAACAACAACAGAGCAATTATCGAAAATATAGGAGTATGAGAGTATGCAATAATAAGTGTTGAGTTTTATTGGTTAATTTTTTTCAAAAAGAAAAAAAACAAGTGTGGTTTATTATTACTAATCGGGTTAAGTGAAAGGGAGAAGAAATTTTGGTTTGCTTAAAAAACAAGTTGTAGCATCAATCACGATTCACGAACGGAATTTGCTAAGCTCAACAGTATCGCCATCATTACTTTTTAACCTTTTTTTGGTCCTAAACCCTTTTTAAAATTTTCATGCATGCCATTGCCATTTGCCACTACTTTTACATCTTTAATTTTTCCAAAAACTCAATACAAACCTCAGTTATTAATCATTAGTATGTATATATGATAAGTAGTTGCATTTTATAGATTTATGTTTTGATTCAAAAATGTTTTACCGATTGCCGCCCATTTATTTACCCCCTAAATTTCAAGAGATTTCACTTTAGGATGTAGAGAAAAGACTCCCACTAACAACATAGAAGAAAGTGATTTTTAATTAGAAACAAGTTTCAAAAAAAAGAAAAAAGAAAAGCAAAAATAAAATGAGGACCCAAATTGCCGCATTCATCGGACCACGTATTGCGCCGTGCATTAGCCGTACGTAAAGTGATATACCCGACCCGAACCGATATCTCTCGGACCTATCCGGTCAATGTTTTATGTCACGAAACTGTCAAAGATTTACATTTAAAGAGAAAGCTTTCTCCACTTCTTAGTTCTCACGTGAGAAAAGTCAAAGCTTCATATCTCCCTCCACTCCACTATTCAACATTTCTTTACTTAGCCATATGATAAAGTATTATGAAGATGGATCCAAGAATGTAAACATCCAATAAAATATTGGACTCCAGATAGAAATAATTGTCGATAATTTGAATGCCATGAGTGTTATATAAATAGAATTTTTGATTATATTATTTTATTAATTCAAATTCTCATAACTAGTTTTGTGTGTCAGTGTGTTGTATTATAAACATAACTAGTTAGTTTGAAAACTTAAGAAGTAATGGACGACTTTAGCGTTTCTATTTATATTCACATTCCACTCCATTTATAATTAAGTCACATCTCTAAACTACTAGTGATTAGTTTTTGTAATTTAGCTGCATGATCACATTTCTTTTTTTATCTTCTTGTTGAAAAAAGAACATGCACACTAACTCACTTTAATCTTTATGCATCGGCGCGCCACCATCATCAAAAACATCAAAACCTATTAAATTAGAGCATCATAAGTGTGAAGTTAATATCGTTAATTAGTTTCCCTAATAAAAATAATAATAAATGTAGTGAAATTTTAAAAATGAAAATAAAAGCGGTCAAAAAAAAATTTGAAAATAAAAATTTAAAGAAGTGATAATTGGGAAAAGAGGGAAAGAAAAACAGTTAAAGAGGCGGTGAACGTGAGAAGAGGTTGTGTCGAGGATGGCGATGACAAGGCATATCTATGCACCAACCAGATCTTCTTGTATCTGCCACGTCATCCCAATCTGTGCCAGCTTCTCACATCTGTTTTTCTGTCTGATTTTCTTAGATTGAATTTCTAGATGATTTTTTGGTTACCGACGTTATTTAATTCTTCTCTTCCTCGAGATGATACGTGGATATACAACGTATATAGGAGATATGATGTAAAATGTGTTCATCTCAACTTCAACCAAAAATGTTTCTATTTTTAGATTTAATTTTTGCAACTTGCAACCCCAAATTAATCACAAAAAATATAATGTGTCTATTAAAGTAAGTTTTATTTTGGCCATATATATTTATAGTATATATGAAAATATAATGTGTCTATTAAATGTAAGTTTTATTTTGGCCATATAAATATTTGGCGAACTCATCCCGGCAACGTGTTAGTAAAAATACAATATTCAGTATTATTGGATACAATTTATTGTTTATATGTACATCCAAAATACACATGCACGCATAGCTTAAGAAGCCTTTATCAATATGAGAACACAAATGCTCTTGCATGTGAATTAAGTATCTACCACTCCTCTCCCAACAAATTCACGTCTTTACATTTATTTCGTGTCAGCATATAACATTTATAATATTCAGTATTTTTTCATCTTTTTTTTTTTTAATAAAGAGCAATTCCGACTCAAACCTGGCTAATCTTTTAAATGGTTTGGGATACCTCCGGTTAACAAAAAAATTACCAAATGATGGTCTTGCTTAATAATATGAGCAGGGGATAGTGTGAATGTTCATTGACAAGCTTATCTAATACTTAGGCGTAAAACATAAGTACGTGTAGATTGCTAATTGAGCTACATTCAAGCAACACATTAAATCATTACCAAATTCTTTTATTAGTGAAAGTATAATTACATCTAGTTTATAAATTCTTATACAGATAATATAATATATTTACATAATAATTTCGTCAGTGAACAACGTAACATACCATTTGAAAACCTCAATGAGAATGAAAATTTCTATATGCCCCGCCGATCATTTGAGTGAGCAATCATCTATTGTTTGTTGTTTACAGTCAATAACATGTATGTAAGAGTAAAGAGTAAAACCTACTCAAATTTAGAAATTGAGAACAATTGGATCCATCAATCTTATACGAGAGGGTGGGGTCATGAATCATGAGTTGATATAAGTGGGAGAAAGAGAATTTGTATGCCAAAAAAAAGTTAATTGAGACCACACATGCTATGTCCACAACCACATTGTAAGAAAGATTCCCCTCGAAACTTAGCAATAAAAACAAGGAGATCTACAGTTATTTTTTTTCAAAAAACTCAGTACACAAATAAATAAGTTAAATCAATATTTTCTGTTGACAGCATCTTTACTATTATAGAAAACATCGTTAACGTTTTTAAATGTATTATAATTTGCACTATTTATAAAGGTTGAGAGCATGTATACTCTTTATATCAGTTATTTTCGATACTAATTAAATTAAATAAACGCTACATCATATTTTCTAGTGGAATTTTTGGGCAAGCTATGGTGACATATTGGGTGTCTGTGTCTAAAAAAGAAGTGGATTCCTTTGAAACCACCACGTGAGGTCATTAGAAAGAAAAAAAAAAAAAGAAGAAGCAAAACATGTCATGTAGAGATTGGTGATATCAAAAGAAGAAGATCTCATGACTACATATGTGAAAAGGGTTTGAGAGATTTCATGATGTTACGTTCGAAGAGGATATGATGACGATATACAACGCGAGGAGTTTTGTCGCTTCATTGTTGCTTTAGCATGGTTTATTGTTCTGTCAAATATATATTTGAAGAAATTTCTAACAAGTTGATAAGAGTGATGCACCGACACTCTTAAGGAATTGGTAGACAAATAGTTTAATAAAAATACACAAGTGTTTATTCAACAACGAATTTGGATTAATACTTATGAGTCTTGATAAGTATAGTACTTAGTTGATTTATAGGGCTACGAGTGATGTAAAACTTGTATGGTACCAACTTAGTGTTGGGCTAGTAGTGAGAGTTAGACTTAGGTCCTTCCAAAAAAGTGTGTAGTCTGGTCTTCCTGTTTGATTTTCGATTGAAAAGAGTTGTTTAGTTCACACAGAGAAATGTATGGACTTCGGCTAACTTTTTTTTTTTTTTTTTATTTAAAGTATTTTATAACTACTAATGGTTTTTATGGTTTTTGCTACTACTATAGCGTATAGATAAATCATGAAATTAAGGCGAAACTGAAATTAGTTGATTAAATAATATAATAGAATTTTATGAAATACAATTTTTAATGGACCATCTTTTAAAAATATCATCAAAGTATATACAAATTAAAGTATATACTCGCATGCCATAATATCAAAAAAGAAGAAGATTGCTTAATATCCTTAATGAACACTAAGTTATAAATAGATAGGATTTTTATTATATTCGACGTC